CAGTGACTCCAAGATATGCTCATCCTGGGACCACCCAAAACCTCTAAGTCACTACTAAAGAAAATGAAAGCTGAATGGCACACTTCATAAACACTCCAAAACAGTTTGAGAGTTGTATTAAAATTCTGAAATACAAACTAACTTTTGGTAACATGTGCCGGAGAAACAAAAGGACTTTCATTAGTGAGCTGAAATGTAAGATAGCTACTAGTCTAGAGACCGTGCCTGCACATGCAGACAGGAGCATTGTCCTACAAAGAAGCTTGATTTTCAAAGGCATTCCTAGTGATCACTGCACTAAAATGTAACTCATAGTTCTGCTGGAATTTATGTTCTTATATAAATGAAAGACAAAAGCCAAAATGTATACACTAAATCTGTATCTGGATCTATCCATACATTGGGATGTTACAAAACCATGAAACAGTTTTCACAGACAAGTTGTAACACACAGCCATAATGAGCTTTTGAATCACCAATACTCACACATAAAAGGGGGCTTGATCGTCAGCAGGTGCTGAGAAAATCTAGAATGTGAAGCATACGCCGTGGCATCTTTTTACAATGGTGTTAACAAATGTCAATGTCTTGTGCAGATTGTGAGATGCATACATATGTAGTTAGAAGTGGGTGCTTCTATTTTTTTTCATTTCCACCTCCCTTTCATCTACACCTCCCCCAGAAAAGCATCTGCTCTTTATTGGTGTCTATAGCAGTGATTATTAACAAGCATGGAAAAAAAATGTAACTGCAATCAATCTTTTATTCCTTGATCAGGAATTCATCCCACACTTAGGTTAAGGCAGGTGAATTCCAATTCAGCTCAGTAATTATCTGGCAGATGTTATAAGCAGCTGCTTCTAAGCAAAAAACCTTGGCTATTATTACAAAAATCTAAGAGCTCCTGGCAAGGTGAAGTGAGAAGTGAAACAGAATGCATTCTGGTAAGGCTTCACATCTGGTTTTCCATAGAAAATAATAAAACCTGGAACTTAAACTGGCTGTTCTTGAACTCTCGAAACTCAAATTATCAACCCAGGCATGCATTCACACACAAAGTTCCTAGCTATCTGCGGCAATAAAGAAATCAAGTACGTTGTCTGTATGAGCAATGCTTTCCCTGTAACCAACCAGCTATGTAAATGGACCAGAGTAGTTTTTATATCCCCACAATCCATCTTTCTACCAGCACTCCAGATTAAGTAGGTTTATAGCAAGAAATAAAGAGAATGTGATCTAGATGGAATCTAAATTTAAGCAATGAGTACAAAACTTAATTGGCTAGAGAAAGTGTTATGGTTCCATTCAGAATAATGGAACAACTGGGCTATTCTTTCAGGAGAACTATTCATGTAGCTTTCAAGAAATTCTAACTCTTTGCTTCATTAAAGCCAAGTAACAGAAATGATGGAGTAAAAACCAATACATGCAAAAAGGCAGGAACCCTGCTGTGTAAACTTGGTCCATCTGAATGTTATGTTGTTTTGTCATCTAATATTTTTCTTTAAAACAGGTTTTGTGCAAGAGTGACTTTAATTTCCAACATTTACTCAATGAGTCAAGTTATGACTAGCTGAATCAGAGTCCCATTGGGACACTTAAAAACGCAATGTGTTTCGTTGGGTACACTTGTGTGAGTGCTCATGTGTGCATGCAGGCACTAGTAACATATGCAAAAGAGACTGACTAGTTGACTTCCAGTGGAAGTAAAGTTGTAGAATTCTCCTTTTTGTAATGTAAAATTTTACAGGACATTTTGACTCCTGAGATAATGAAAGCAATTATTTATGAAGCTATTTTTAGATATAACTCAGGGTCATAATAAAGCCACTACCCACATAAATGGGTAATGCTGATGGGTCAAAAGTTGGGAGAAAATATACACAAGTGTGTACATACACACAATGAAAAAATAAAAGGGAAGAAAAGACATCTGAGTCTGCAAGTCTCAAAAATTCTAGAATTCACTAGATACATGACATAGCAAAGCCATGTTAAACGTAATGGCTTTATGGTCACTTTTTAATATGCAGGACATTAGAATGGAGGAGTAAGACTAGTATCACGCACTGAATTTGGTGTTGAGTACCAAAAACTGGGCAAAGGAACCTGAATTGATACATGGAATACAATATACACATAGAACACAACTCAAATAATCAGTCACGAGAATATTTGGATTTCATATTAAATCTAGTCTGTCTCAGCTAAAGTTTTTCAAAAAAAGTCTCCATGTGGACGTATGTGATTTATCTTTTAACCAAAAGGAACACTGACTGTAAGTGGTAAGGAAAGCATTTAATTTTCATACAATGGAAAATCTGAAATTTTTAAGAATATTTACATGTACTTTATCACTATAAAATAATTAAGGAATAGTAACATCAATCTGCTCAAGTGTCAAGACAAAAAGAAATGCAAAAAAAATATAAACACCATTAGTGAAGATTCTGCCTAAAATAATATTTCATGTAAGATGGCGAAAATCACTTGAAGTGGTAATTTTTTTTTTTGCTTTTTATTGATGGCAGAATGAAAAACAGGTTGTAAATGTAGCTTTCTTCACTAAGCTCTAGAAGTACATGCTTTGCAAAAGAATCAATATCACACAATGCCGACAGTAAAGTAACATTAATACAAAAAATCTCCTACATAATTTAAGGTAAACAATCTTTCCCTGAGCTCTTATTTCATAAATTTTTCCATTATACATTTAATGAACAATGATACAATGCCATGGATGAAGTGTGATAATAAAGTCATAATCTTGCTTTATGATGGCTCAAAGAATGTCAGTGACTTAAAATCACATCTTAATATACTTTTAAAACATTATGGGGTTGTGGGATCAAGGGAAATTCTAACTAATTTCTGACAAAATATCCTCCATGACCTTGAATTAGACCACACCAAACATAATGGAGGATCCCTCTGTTTCAAGTAGTTCAAAAAAGGGTGAATTAGGGGTCCTGCCTATACGGACTTTTTCACAGTTGGTCCGTATAGCACTGACTTGATTCTCAAATTCATACAGGGCCATTAGGTAGTGCACAATTCTTTACACGGAAACTGAACCAGTCTTGTGTCTAAGAACCAAAGAATAGTTTGAGCAACTATGCATATCAATATCTTGTAATCTGAACAACTACTTTAAACATAATGATACAGAATACATTAACCGTTGTTAATTTCCTATTATCTTTCTTTGAAATTCTGTATCATTTGGTTTTCATTTTTTCTCTCTTTAAAATAAATAAATATTACAACACAAATACTTAATCTGCTGAAAGATAAAATAGGTAAAACTTTTGAAGATACTGGCATAGGCAGGGACTTTCTAAACAGAATCCAAATTGCACAAGAAATAATTCAGAGAATAAATGGGATAATAGCAAATTAAGAAGTGTCTGCACAACAAAGGAAACAATCAAGAGATGAAGAGACAACAAACAAAACTGGATAAAATTTTGCCAGCTATTCTTTGGACAAAACACTAACATCTAGAATATATACAGAATTAAAAAAAATTAGACCACCCCTAAAAATAAAAAACTCAAGCAAAAAACGGTCAAACTAAATGAATAGACACTTCTCAGAAGAAGCATAAATGGTCAATAAATACATGCAAAACTGTTCAACATCCTTGCCCACTAGACAAATACAAATTAAAAGTACACTGAGATACCATTTTACCCCAGAAAGAATAGGTATCAAACAATAAAATAATAACCAATGCTGGCATGGCTGTGGGCAAGAAGGAACTTCCCCACACTGCTGCTGGGAATATAAACTACCATAATTGTTATGAAAACCAGTGTGGTTTTTCCTCAAAAAAAAAATAAAAATAGAAACCTCACTGTTCCAGTTATCACCGTGCTATGTTTTTTTACCAAAAGAGTTAAAGTCATCATAATATAAGGTTACATAATTATGCATTTTTATAGCAACAAAATTTGTAATAGCTAGATCTTGGAAAAAAACATGTGTCCATCAACAGATTAATGGATAAAGAAGTGATATTATACATAATGGGGTACTATTTTGTCATAAAGAAAAATAGATTTGAGGCTGAGAATTTAGCTCAGCAGAAAAGCACCTGCCTGGCAAGTGCGAGGTCTTGAGTACAACCCTTGGCCTCAAAAATGGGGGCATAGCTGCCTACCTGGCAAGCACAAGGTCGTAAGTTGGATCCCCTCACAAAAAAAAAAAAAAAAAAAAAGATTTGAGGCATCCATAGGCAAATGGATTCAACCGGTGAACATATGTTTAGCGAAAAAGCCAGATGCACAAGCTTAAATATCGTGCAGTTTTTCTTATATGAGGAACTAAAACAATACATATGTACACAGATATGTATGTATGTACACTGTACACACACATACACACACACAGAAAAAGGGAAAGAGAGAGATGGAGGAAGACTAGGAGGAATAGGAAGAGGAGAAAGATGAAGAGAAGAAAGGAGACATTCAAGTGCTAATTTGTTTTATTTATTCTCTTTGTTCAGGAGAAGGAAAGTTTTGCCCTTTTGTTCTTTTTTTTTTTTTTTTGTAAGCATCTTTAGTGTATGGCTTATATTTTAAGTAACATTTGGTCATTCTTTTAAGATCAAGATGCATAATATACCAACTATTGCTATTCTCTATTTTGCTGTTAAATTTTGTTTTATTTTCCATAAAAAAAGAATCAAGGAATGAATGCCTCTGCTTTGTGAAAGATGTTTCACATCTCTCACATGTGGAGCTGTTATAGAAAGCACTGGAGAAGTAAAATTAAAATCATTAAGCCATGTTTTAGAATTTTCAACAGAATGATAGTCTTAGGGTATATTTACAATAAGTACTATTCAAAAATAGTTAATACCAGAGTAATTTGTGTTAAATAAGTATGTAATAACTTTTGTTCATAAAACAAAAAATATACAATAAAAATGGTATTTTGATCAATTCATTAAAATTATTAAATTTCCCAAGTAAAATTGAGATCTAAATGATACATACGTTATGTCAGGCCCAATGAGAGAATGTCTTCTTAACATGGCTCGTGCCTGGGCACTGGTTAAATTGATGGTAGACTCCTCATTAACAGACATAATGCAGTCCCCAACAGCAATCCGGCCATCTCGACTAATGGCACCTCCATGAATAATGCTTCGAACAATCATTCCCAAGCCATCTTTATTAGCACTGACCGTCATCCCTATAGGAAAAGAATAATGCAGGTATGGGTTAAAGATATTGAAATACATTTAATTGAATAATCACCAAGGAGTTGTAGATTAAAGAATATGATTAACAATAACAGAAAAGAAAGCTTTCTAATATGAAGTGCCTTAACTTTTTTTTTTTTTTTTTGGTACTGGAGACTCAACTATACTAATCCCTGGCCAACTAATTTCAATGTCTGTGAAATTGTAGATAAAAATATTCTATGTCTAATATGTTAGAGAGAAAGCATTCTGTGCTATTGAATGCATGCAATTGAGAACATTTGATGTGATGTCTTCTAAAATAGCTTTTGATAGAAGCTTTTGATAGAAGAATACTGTAACAGCATGAGATAATTTCATAATAGCAAACTATCTCATATGTAACAGAATTAAAACAGGACTATAAGTAGAAAATTAGTTCTATAAATTAAAAAAACCTCTCAGTTATTACCTAATTCCAGATCATTTGTTTATTTACAATCTATTTACCATATAGTTGGTATTTGCCAAGTAATACATAAACTGCTCAGGATAGAAAAAAAAGTACACAGTGCAAAATTTCTAAAATCCTGAGGCTTATATCCTTAAGCCTCAGGGCTACTATAATACCTAAATATACAGTAGTCTATTGATCTGAACTAATAAGAACTCACTATCAGTATATTATCGTTTTTATTTCTGCATTCAATGAGGTCCCTAATGCAACGTCCCTTGACATACCCCCTGGATTTCTCACAGGAAATGCAACCTTAATGAAAATCAAGATGATCTGGCCATTTGTCACCTCCTCTTACTTCACCATTTGTCTTCATTTTTTGGTAAATCACACCATCATCTTTAATCCCCTATATTTAATGCCTAACTAGCAGCTGTAATTTGTCTCTCCAAATTTTATGATGAGACCACTTCCTTTTCTCCATTTTCACACTAGATCTAGACCAAGTCTTTACACTCCTATCTACCTTTCGCAACAGCCTCTTAAATGGTCACCTGGGCCTCCAAAATCATCCTTGCCAATGTATTTTTCTCATGGCAAACAGATCATTCAAAAAAGAATAACCCCATCTATCAGTCCTTTGTTTGAAACTTTCAAGAGTTTCCTGTTATGCTGATATACAAAATACTTGCTGGCCTAATTTATAGGGCAGAGCTGACACAGACTTCCCAACATGCACCCTTACTCTGTGTCATAGACTCCGGGAATTTCAGACACAAAAACCTTCTTCTAAAAATATGTGCCATCTCTTTTTATTTTGGAGTCCTAGCTTTTTTTTTTTTTTTTTTTTTTTGCAGTTCTTATACAACTCCCTCTTATATTTTTTACTATAATTTCTTTTTTAAAAGACCTGTTAGAAAAAATTCTGAATTAATCTTTTTTTCATACCCTAATCTCATCCTTTAAGATATAAAATCTTTGATGTTATTTCACTTAATATGAAGTAGTAAAATGTTCTTCCAAAACAAGATCACATAATTAAGCAAGATAAGACACAAAGTCATCATATTTTTAAAACTTTTTCTGACAAAAATCACAGATTCCTTTTTAGGTCTTTATGTGCTTAAATAAAAAAGACTATCCTAATATTAATACTAATTATTTAAAATCAGATATGCTATCTCAAACATTTTTAAGAATTATAATTAAGATATTGGCCCAATATTTCAGGCATGCATATCCAGACTTTCAGTTACCATTTTCTGATAGAAATGAAACATTATAAAATATATATAAAATATTTAGTTAAGATTCACTTTAATGATTTTTACATGTATTGATATAAGAAGATACTTCTGCATTTCATTAAAAATGCAAAGAAGTATAGATTTTTTAAATCTCAGATGAGTTTCTTATTGTTGAGCAGGATGGCCCTGAAATGTGTCAACAAGAATGAAAGTTTGCCCTGACAGGCACTCTTCCCATCAGGAGTCACCAAATAACTGTACCATGTTAAAAATCAAAATGTGTGATCACCAAATAACTTAACCCAGTGTTCTCTACTAAGAATCTAATGTATCATTTTGTTCTCATTACTGTCACACAATCTACATTAAAGCAAGCCACAAGCATGAAACATGTCATCACGAGCTATGGTCACCATGACCTTCAAATTCACTTTAAGTAGCATATTTAAGTCATGACTTTATTATACTACTAATGGGTTGACTGATCATATTGACCATATTAACCAAGAGATTAGGTTAGTTCCTGTAACATTTTCCTTTTCCCTAAATGAGAATTCCTGGGATGAAATAACTTGAAGGAAATATAAATAGAGTTTGGTTGTAACTAGTTTGATATCTCAAACTGACCTGTAAAAGAGAAAAGTATAATAGAATACTCCAAGTCATGCACAATGGAACCACAGAATTGGTCACAAATCTAAATTCACTACTTCCTACACGGGTGACTTTGGGCACCTGTCACTCTTATACAAACCCTTGTTTCACTCACCTATAAAATGGCGTAATAATACCTACTATTTGTATGTAAAGGGTTAGGGCTAGGGTTAAGTGTCTACTATTGATATTGTTTGAAGAATTAAGTAAAAAACATATGAGGAGTGCCTTTCAAGTACTTGATACAAAGTGCTCAATAAAGTCTAGCTGAAAAACTAAAAATAAAACTGAAGATAAATTTAAAATGTACCTCTATCCCAAAATAAAGTACACTGCTTCCTAAAGGCTAAATGAAACCTAAATTCAACTTCAAAATAAAGCTTATTATAGTAATTGCAATGTTCTTTTGAGTAATTCATGTACTATATTAAATATACTGTATGATACATAACGATAAGATACAGTAAGATTTGAATCCTGACTCTACCTACTAAGGGCTGAGTACTTTCAGGGAAACTCCTGAGTCTGTCTATACTTATATACCTAATCACTGAATAGAATGTAGTATGTTCCTCCCCGTGCCTCTGGCTTAAAAACTTTGCGTTCTAACTTCAAGCCTTCATTAAAAACAAAACAAAACAAAACAAAACAAAACAAAACAAAAAACAAACTACTACAGACCGAAAAAAATCAAGCTCAGACATTTTTGAAAGTCACTGTATGCACGTTTACACATGTTTATGTCTGTATATAACAATGCTGTCCTAAATTTGACAATACAGCATGAGTCATGATCAAACACTATGGTAAATATTTAAATTTTGAAAAATTTAATATAGATGAAGACACATTGCCGATAATCCCCGCAAAATCCACCTCCTCCACATTAAAAGTCATTCCTGCTACTTTTTAAAGCAGTCTGGAATCCTTTTACATGAATGTCTTTAGTTACACTTTTATGGCTACCCCAATGTACTGAATCCATTCTAAATGTTTACTCTAGTGATCATTTTGACTATGGGGAAAAGAAGTCATTTGGTGCCAGAGCTAATGAATAAGGTGAATAAGCACCCACCACTATTTTTATAAACCTGTCCTTCTATTGAACAGCATTTTGTAGCAGTATTCCTCATAATGACACTCACTGCTTCAGAGTGATGAGAATAATGGGCTCAGTGTGTCTGAAGTAAGGATGGGAGATATTTTCAAGATTAATGACAATGTGCCTATATTTATACATCATACATGAAATAGTGCAACAAATTAGAAATCCTCTGCTATCGTTCTGTAGTTAACTGCTATTGATAGTACCCAGAAACCACAAAATAGAACAAAATCTAGCAGACAGCTGCTGCAGTCTTACCAGCTAAATACTGAAGGACTTCTCTGCAAAGGTTCGAATTCAACAAGAAAACAAGACCTCGTGTGCCATAAGGTATTAATGTGAAAAGTTACTTCATAGAAGGAAGGATGCCTGATACACAGCAAACTAGTGTTGGGCTATTGGCCATTCAGAATAACTACTCGTGTCTTTTTGTTATCAGCAAGGAGCAGGAGGAATAGGACTGAGTCATGATTGCTCATTCAGTGACAGAACAAATATGCCCTGACCCTGCACAGTTTTAGGTATTATAATTAGGATTTCACTTCCCATAAGAAGTCTTATTTGCCCAATTCAGAGGGCTTTGTGATTATTAACCAGCTGAAACAACTCATGAGTAACAGAGGACTTCGAAATCCTGCCACCTGGGAAGAATTACTGAATAACTTGCATTTATATTTTGGTAGTGGCACACCTGTCTGTTTTTAGTCTTTATTTTAGTGAAAGAAAGAGATTAAATACAAACTGACTTATACATAACTGATTACGTTCGAAGAAACTAGTAATACGTTTCCAAAGAATTTAGAATTCCAAATTGCTGACTTTTCATTTTCTAAGAATTCTTTTCTGATTTGCTGTTTCATACACAAACAACTCATATATCTTTTACTTGAATGTAATTAAAGCTTTTCATTACTGTGAAATAATTGAGAGAATGAGGGATATATGCAACTATGAAGTAAACAGCCCTGTTAAGCATTTCAGGAAAAACAATGGGAGCATAAAAAGAAAACCCATAAAATCTACAAGAAAACTTCTCAACTATATTTTTTCACATACAGCAAAAAACACATTGAAACTTATCATGCTCAACACCTGCTCTTGTCTAGTTAGTTGGAGAAGCGGAGCTAAGTAGAAAATCAGGCACTTACCTAGGCTAGAATTGCCTTTTGCTATAGTAATAGTCCTCTCAAAAGATTCTCTAGACATATTTTCCAGCATGACACACTCGTCATTTGAGGCCAAAGAGCTCTGTTCAATTAAGTACTCAGAGCCCTGAAAAAAAGAAAAAACAAGTTACGTAGAAAGGAAAACTAGACTTTGGAATATGTTTCAACATTACACATGCGGTGTACCTAGTTATGCTTTATTCAGCAAGAACATATAACGAAAACAAGTTCATAAGTTGCTTTAGTCTTTCAGTGTCAGACAAGCACTCATTCTGAACAACACATCAGCCAGAACACACTAATTCTTCTTCGTCTCACTGCACGTGGGCCATGTCTTTACAATATTACCTTTCCAGCTGAATCAGGTACCACAGAAGTTAGTTCTGCACTTGATAAAACTTCACTTGGTAACTGAGATGCAGTCCAAGGTACTGTGCTTTCATGTCCATATTGTTCTATAAGATTTTCAGGTGAATAATCATTTATGGCAAACCCAGAAACAGATCCCACGCTCATGTCTACTGAAGCTGGATTCTCACTGTGCCTCTGCAGGACACTTTGGGCATACAGTTCTTCTAAGGACATGTGCAGATCTTGTGCTGGATCAGAAGAATTTTCATCAATATCCTGATGATTAAGAAAAAGTAAGTAATTACAAGCTAAGCTACATCTATTTATTTTATAACTACTTAATGAACATCTACTTAGTGAAAAATCAAACACAATATCTAAAAAGCACCAACATAAATTATTCACATAGCAGATTTTTAGCATATTTATTTTCATAAACATTTTAATACATTTCCTGCAAATCACACATCTCATATTCTACTGGTTTATGTGTACACAACATATCATATATAAAAATCACTTGGATACAACCCAAGAAATGAGCAACAACTAAGGTTTAAGTTTAAAAATAGTTTTTAAAATTTATTATAGTAAAAAAACAGTGCGATTAAGTCCCCCTCAATATACACCTTCTAACTCAGTTCAAGAGGACATCCTGGCAGCTGTGATCAGACAACTAAGACATTCATACAAAAGGACTTCCAGAACTGTTCTAGGAAGAGGCAAGAATGGTGAGGTAAGTGTGTTTGAAAGGAGGAAGGGTTGGCATTTTGTGGGGGATTAATAGCAATACCTTTTTACAGTAATGTTTTTAAAAATTTTAACATGATAAATCTTTTAATCATGCTTGCATCCACAGATACAACTTTTTGGTTTAAACTACACAAAAATGACAAATAATTTGTATTTCTAAATCTCACTTACGGTGTCTTAAAGGGTAATTCATTTTCAATCAGTCTGAAATTTCTATTTATTATGAGGTCAGAGTATTCAAATTATGCTATTTTAAATTCAAATTGAATTTTAAAAAGTCTCTGAGAGAAAACTTTTGATAAGAAGTTATAGATATTTATGGAGAGGAAAAGAAAGTCTTGTAATTTAAATCATGAGAAAATTTTTCATCAATGTTTTATGAGTTGTAATAGAAAGAACACTAAACGGAGTTGCCACAGTTCTAACCCAGACTCTGTTTATCAGAAATCTGAGTATCACAGAACTTCCTTTCAGCTGTGCATTAGACACTTCCTACAACTGAAACTAAAATTTTTAGTTTTATATAAATACATGTAACTACAGCAGATAAGTTGTATTATTTACATGCTTTGAGTAGAAGTTGTTTTATGAACTACTGTTGAATAAGCCTGTAAGTTTTCTCTTCAATTTTAATTGATGTTTTAAAGTGTGAAGGTAGCATATAAACACATCACCCTGTGAACAAGACCAGCTATGCAGATATGCACTGTGCACGCCTACAGGGTGTAATATGAAGGCTTCTCATAGCTCATACTTTCATTCCTTCCGTGAGTAAAAGTGGCTGGCAACAATTAGCTTTCATCTCTTCTAGTTTATGTATTTACACAGTATGTACATACAAGTACACATAAACTCACACATACACGCTGAAATATAATACATTTTAAAACCTAAATAAAACCAATATTAAATGGAACAATTTATTTCTTCTTGAGATATTTCCCTCTAAGGAAAAAAAAAGCTAATCTTCTTATGAGTAAAATTATTCCTAAGTAGGGAGGCACTGGAATACATTTGCTAGATCACAGGTAGTTAATTGAGCTTTGGCAAATTACTACACACTTCTGGCTTTACTTTGGTTTTCTTACCTATTAATTTGGAAAAAATAATAGGATCTACTATAGGAGTGTTTGGAAGACAAAGCTAATATCCACAAAATATTAAAAACAGATCTTAAAAATGAAAATATCCAATAGTTTTTAGGTTTTGCAGTTATTTATATTATACGACTTCATATGTGTGAGAAAATGTATTTTCTACAGGATTAGAGTGGAAGGTCCAATGATATTCAAACTTAAAATGTTGGTATACATTGCCAAAATATCTTGTAATTTTCTCTCACAAAAGAGAAAATGGAATACCTATTAACTAATCTCAACAACTAGAGATTAGTTTGGTAATCTGGTCTGTAAGAAATAATATTCTGCAGTGTTTCATGGATAAAAATGATTGTTACAAAAAAGAAACATAATAGCACAAAACTTTCTGCATTAGCTCCTGATAATTAGTCCATTTGTGTATATTTCATGAACACTCTCTTCATGTATTTCATTCACTTTAATTTTATGTGAAAATAAAACAAAATTTCATAACAAATTAATAAGACAGTGAGAATAGCCAATACACTGTATCATTATCTTTAAAGTAATTACTCAGAATATAAGACATGGATAAAAATGATTGTTACAAAAAAGAAACATAATAGCACAAAACTTTAAACCAGCAGTATAAATGCAGTGAATAAGCACATATATTAAAATACTTCTGAAACAATTTATCAGGGGATTTTTAATTGTTATAGTCAGTGACCTATTCTGAATATAGTGTTTTATTTCATTCACTGCAAATATTTTTTGTCTGTTGTCTTTTAAGTTTATATTCATAACATTTTGCTCATGCAGAAATTAAACTCCTTATGTAATCAAATGTGTAAATTTTATTTTTTTATTAATTTTTACGGCTTTGGGTTATGCATATTGATTCATAAATTGTTCCTCTGCACAAAGTTAATGAAGTATTTCCAGGATTTTTGTTGTATTTTTATATAACAGTTTTTCACATTTAAGTCTTCTAGAATTTATTTCACATTTAGTATGAGAAATGGGTCTCTGTTTTATAAATGAAGAATTTAACTTCTGCAACATAATTTATTACACTTCCTGTCTTAAGTGGAAGTTACTATCTCTGAAATTATCAGATATTCTTGGAACAAAGAATGGATGTGGTTGGTCTATCATTTGAGCAATTAATAGCTTTACACGCTTCAAGAACAATTGATAGCAAAGTAATATGTTCTACATTCTCAGAGTTTAAATGACCTGCTGTCTCATTCACCTAGCTGTTACTTTATTCTTAAGAAAAATAACAATGTATTTACTAAAGACCTGGCTACCTTCAGTATTACTAAATTATTATAATTAGCCATAAATCATCTCACTCATGCCTCAAATGAAGATAATAAGCAAAACTGCTTTTCAAAGAAAAAGAGGTCAAGCCAGCCTTGTTAGCTGGTGTTTGCTGAAAATGGTGTAACAGAAATTTCCATGTATTATTCATGAAGGAGTTAACACAGACTCATAAAAAAGAAACAGCTAATCAACACAGTAGACAACATACTCCCACTACAGAAATATTTTTGGTTGCTGCACAACGGAGTTTTATTTTTAAAAGTCTTATGATCCAAAAGAAAAACAAGTTCTTCCACATAAAACGCAAAATAATAATTTAAATTTTCTAGTGCATCATAATACCTAAACTGAAGGCTTCGAAAAGGTCCAAATTAATATTTGCCTCCACATGATACACAAAGTGTGATCAAAAAATACAGTTTACATTTACATGTTTAAAAATTGTTACAATAAAAGGTAAATTGCATTAATCAACCTCAAAATATTCCCCTCACTTTGAATACTTATCCCATCTGTCCTGCTACTTTCTAAAGCAGTTGTGGAGGATCTTTCTTGTGTCTTTAGTTGTGTTGTCATGGCTGCCTTGTCCTGAAACAATTTAAAACATTTACTTTTCATGACCATTTTTGAATTTGAGGAAGAGCCGGAAGTTACATGGTGCCAGTTCTGGTGGATAAGGTTGAATGAGATCACAGCTTAATGTTTCCACCAGTCTGTCTTTTCATTAGATGGTATTTTGTAGTAATGTTCACCATACTTTTATCACACCTCCTAAAGACTCACAAAAGAGAACTTCCAGACCTAATTCATTTGGCAAGAATGAGGTAAGTGTTTGAAGTAGATGGAAATATTTGGGGGGGGGGGTTCATGGCAATGTGCTCTTACAGTAATTATTTTTTAAATTTAAGTTTCATCATACTGTATCTGTCAATCAGGTCTTGCATTTTTGTTCTCAGGGATAAATAGGGGAGAGGTTAGATTAAAATATCAAATTTACATATGTAAAAGTTCTATTTCTTAAATAAAATGCTTAAGGTTATACTTGCACACCCTAGGAATTGAAATAATAACTTTATACAGAATAGCTAAATATTACTACCCACGTTTTTCCAATAAGCAACAGATGAGAGAATTTTTGTTACACTTTAAAAAAAAGGACTGCAGGCACTATTGCTTCAGCTTACTGAGATCCTCTTCTCATTCTGAGATATGATGCACTTCCTTTACTCACCATGCACTGACTCCACGATGAGAAAAGGCAACATCTTTTATACCTTTGAGAGCCTCCAGTTTTGTCAGTAGGATATTTACAATCAGTACTCATTTAATTGGAGTGGTTTAATTAGTTTTTAGATACCAACTTTTCTAAAAGAAGAACCATCAACATTCTAAATGCACATGTAAAAACAGTAATTTTTGTTAGATTAACACTAAGTAAAAAATTGTACTATGGTAGCAATTTTGGATTTACTACTGGCTTCTTTTGAAGTCCATTATTGCATACATTATTTTGGTTTTTTTTTTTTTTTTTTGTTTCTATTCTATTCAGTTCTGTTTGATTTTTACTATGTCTGAAGTTATCTGCCGCTACTCTGAAGATGTCAAAAGGCATTAGGGTAACTATTGTTGATAATGTTTTGAAGTCCTATATCTCTTACATTGGTTTGTTTTGACTGGTTTTATTGTTTTATCCTCTTTAAAATAAAAACAATATGCTATGTACATGTGCCAATTTTACACAAGGAATGTAAATGTTATTCACTGCAAACACACATTAAGAAAAATTGTTTAGAAAAAGTAGAATGGGCCCTGATTGGGAGACTTGTGGTGAACAGGAGCAAAATGAACAGCTGCTCCTTGCTGTTTAAACTCCTGCACAGTTCTGAATTCTACACTGCACAAGAAAGCTATAGCTAAACATGACTCATGCCTATAATCTCCAGCACTCTAGGAGGCTGAGGCAAGAGGAACATAAAAATAAGTCTACCTTTGGCAATTTAGCAAGATTCTGTCAAAAAATAAAATGTGAACAAGCAAACAAACAAATAAGGACTGGGAATGTAGCTCAGTACAGTACAGTGCAAAGGCCCATGGTTCAATCCCCAGTATCACAATCAATCAATCAATCAATCAATCATCAATCAGTAAATCAACCAACCAAACAAATCAAAGGCTTCCTTCCAAGTGAGTCCATGCTCCCTGGCTAGCTCTTAAAATTTCCGTCAGGTAGCACACTTGTCCAAGGTCAAAAGACCTCTCACCAACGAGAAGAGAAAGGTAAAATTATGTATCCTTTCATGGCCACATGATTATACTTAACAAAGTCAAATGTCTAAGGAATCGCTGGAGGCCTCACAGTCTATTTTATCCTTTCAAATAAGTATGGAGATAATCTTGTTTTCTTAAGATATCCATGTATACCATATAGTTAAATAATTATGTACATGATAGTTTTATTTTATAAATTTAAAAGTCTTACTGCAAAATCATTTCTCAAGAAAGAGTCAATTCTAAATTCCATAATAAATCATTATCCTGTCTTTTAAGGTGAATCCAATGCAAATAATAATAATTTGTATAAGGAAGATTACTTTATGTAATTTTTTTATTTGGATAAATTCTGTAGTAAACATGTAAGTACTCAAAAAGGTGTACTCAAATAAGGAACGAACACTAGATTTTCAGAGATACATCATGATGCAGGAAAGAACAGTTCTATTTTCTAAGAAACAGCACATAGGAGTTTTACAATGTGTTTTAGAACACTCTCATTAATGCTTTGTTGTTTTGCAGTTTAAATCTTTCAGTTGTTAGACCAGCTTGCCAAATTTGCTTTGACAAAAGAGTAAACTGCTTAGGGAAAAAAAAAATGAAATAAGAGGCAAACACAGTTCAGTAAGCCAATATGTTGTGCTACATACAACCAGCATTTGTCCTGTAAAATATATGCTTCTCAGTATGCACATTGTGCAATGCCTTTAAGTAACAATTACTAAGTTAAACAATGCAATCTGTCCTACTGGCAAGAAGAAGTATGCTATGCTGTGGATTAAGAGATTCCATTAGGAGATGAACTCAGCTTCCAGCCCCGAGGCCAGTATAGGCTGAACATATTCCAGACAGGACACAGCCAGCCAGACAGTCTCGGGTGCAGTAGGAGAGAACAGCTGCTCCACTCAAGATTATACCTTGCAAACCAATACAAGAAGATTGCCCAGCACCATTTGTAAGGATAACAGGTACACCTTGAACATAAAAACAAAATGCTTTTGACATGTTCTGGCCTCAAAATACTTGTTATTTAGGAAAGGGAGAAAATGTGCTAGACCTATAAAAATACAAATATAAAAATTCTAGTATCTTCATAAATGAAACTCCTACAGTACATTTACTCTATGCACAAAATAGCATATATTTAAGAAAAAATGATTGTCCAATCTTCTTATCTTAAAGTATATTTATGGTATATTTCCAATATAAAAAATGAAAATGTATCTACATATGAACACTATATCTAGATTAAACAGATATGAACATTACCAGTATTTCTTCACTCATATTTTCTCTTAAAATAATATGATACATATAAGTCAGGCGTGGTTGTGCACACCTGCAATCTCAGCACGTGGGTGGCTGAGGGAGGAGGATTGCTGCGAGTTTGAGATCAACCTTGGCTACAAAGTGAATTCAAGGCCAGCTCGAACTGCATAGTGTGACCTTGTCTCAATCAATCAATCAATGATATATACAGCTAAGTTTCTATGTTTCGTTTTTTGAACAAGCAAAATTTCTTTACTGAGAAATATCACCATGCCATTTTCACTCTACACTAATATACACTTGTAAAATATGTATCAAATTGCTTTATGCATTAATTTCCAGATATATAAAATACTCAATTCATCTGAAAGTAACCAATATAAAAGTGGTGAAAATATATGAAAGATTGTTTGTAAAATGTGAAAAATAAGTGGCCAGTATGTAGAAAATGTACTAAATTGCATTAGTTATCATTAAATACAAATTAAAGTACAAAATAGCCCATTTTGTACTTAAAAGTTTAGATAGGTTTAAATCATTACTTATTAAAATTTATAGAGTATGTAACCATGAAAATGGATAGTGTTGGGGCACTTATGCTAATAATTTATTTCTAAAATACAGATATATCAAACAGTAAATAAACTTAATTAACATACTTTGTTCTCTGATTTTTATACAAATTATTATTTAGTATCATTTTATATAAAAATACAGAATTAAGTTTGTCTTAGCTAGAAAATTTTAAATACATAAAATATTTTACTATACAAATGTGCAGAAGTTTTACAAACATTTAAGAAAATGTTATTCTTATAATTTTTCCATTCCATAAATACTGTTAAAACTCACAACTTGGAAAATACATTTCATTAAACTTTTTCTTTCTGGGAGCTGGAGGTTTAGCTCAGCGGCATAAGCACCTGCCTTGCAAGCAGGCAGTCGTGAGTTCGATCCCCGGTACCAATAAAAAGGTAAAAAGGAAATTCTTTCTTTCTGACATGAAACTTCTAATCAAAACTTTGAACCTTTGTGTCTACACTTTGCCTGACAGATATAAAAATTAAAGTCATACTAATCTGAAAAATAATCAACACCAGCTGAATGAAACTGTACTGATGGTGAATCCACAGTTGGAGAAATATAATGTCTCTTAATATGCGACCCACAGCTTTCCCTTAAACTCTGGAAAGTTACTTACAAAGGCCCCTCATAAATAAAACGGCTTTTGCTTCATACCTTGGAAGGAGAGGATGGCAGGGAGGGGCCGTAGTTCAGACCATCACTGCAAGCACTGCCATGGAATGATAAGACAGAGGCTTGGGTAGAGTAGACACTGTCATTATCAGGAGAGTACTGGCACTCAAATGTAGATTCATCTACTATTTCAGGATCATGTGTATCCACCTAGGAATAAAATAGTATCAGTGAGGAATTCTGTTTTACCACAAATTATTACAGTTTCTAGCTGAGACCACAAGATACACTGGTCTCATTCCTTTTTTCTATCCTGTTTGCTGCACGCTCTTTCCACCCTCTGGGGCACATCAGACTGACTAAGCAGCAGAACACAAACAAGGCACCCCTCCTACAACAGAGTGTTGGCACTGATGTCTATTTTAGTTTTATTAGTGAAAGACTAAATCAACAATGAAAGATCAGAATCAATTTTAAATATGAACATAAAGTTAAAGAAAATAAATTGCTTTTTTCAAGTTCATATGACCAACTCTCACTACTTAATAAAAAGGATAAAGTTCTCGCTTCTATTCAACTAAAATAAACATTCAAAAACCCAGGAAAGCAATTATAGTTTTGAAAGCTATGTATTTTAGCTAATTCACCTTTAGTTAGAGTTTACAACAATTTGAAGTTATACAAATGAAAAGAAAAAAAATCTGATTTCATTCTAAAATTATTCTAACAAGGGGATCTAAGTATCATGTGGTTACGATGAAGCTGTAGGCTTACAATCTTCTATTAGGAAACTCGCATAGAATGAGATCGGGAATTTCATCACATATTATCTAAAAATTCTATTACTATCTCTGTGGCAAACCTCAGGAAAAAGTCATATTGAGTTTGACACTTGTAATTTATTCCTGCTCACAATTTCTCATTCATCAGCATTTTCTGGTTACCCTGATAGTGAATTCCACATATTCTATTTCTTTGTTATTTCAGCTCATATGTTTAGAAGACATTAGAAGCACTATAACATTATAGAAGGTACCATCAAAAAAGCTTTTAAAATACAAGGCAGGCTACTTCAAAGTGATCTTCACTTGAAATACATACGTCAATGGCCTGCTCACATCGTTTAAGTACACGTTCAGCTCACTAGTGAGTCACTAAGGAGAGGTTTATCTTTATTAATGTACATTATGTTCAATAAACCAGATAATGCCTATTATTTGCTATTGTGATATATGGTATAAATTGTCTTGTGCCATGATTATTATCGATAAAATTTATTGTAAAAATATTTAAGAAGGAACAGCTCAATATAATTGGTATATCTATTGCCGTAAAATCTTAGGACATTCTAAAACTCAATTTGCATAATTATTGTAGAGATAAAACACTAGGATTCAAAGAAAATGAGTGATCAATCCAACATTATATAGCTGGTAAAGGAGAAGATTCAGGATAACTATTATTAGTATAAAATGTTAAATATCCATGAATGTGGGCCTAATCTCCTTGATTGACATTTACTTAAAGAGGTTCAAAGAAGCCATGCAAACTGTACAGAGAATACTGTTCCTTGGGATATTTTAAAAACAATGATATAATTGTGTCCTGTGACATTTCAAGAATAATTTTCTATGACTGGGTACTATTTAACATAATAGTAATTGTACAGTTAATAGCATACTAAATTATAATGACCACATAGTGCTAAAAATTTCCTGATATGTTAAATAGTGTAATGTAAAATTACATTTAGTGTATTTATATACTGCATATAAAACTTTTCAAAGAGCTACTTCAAGAGCTTTTAATTTAAAAAGAATAACAAAAAGAATTAACTCCAAAATTTGGCTTACCAAAATATACACAGTACAAAAAATAGGTCACAATCTGGTTGAAAGGAAGATGTACACAGTAAATTTCTAAAATATATAGAGCAAAGAGTATATATGGTAAGTTTTATTTAGAATATTTGGAAAGACAAAGTAAGACATACAAGAATTTGAAAAGAAACCTCGATAACTTGTGACCACTAACCAGAGCCAAGTCAGCCCTGCAGAGAGCTTTGGTAGGCAGAGCTTGTTCCTTGCAGGAGAGTGGTGGGTAGAGAAAGGAATCCTCCTTAGCAGAAACATAACCTTCTTCTGGCGACAGCTGCTGAGAATGATGTTTAAGTACCAGTTCATGGGAAAGAGAGAGCAGTGAGGAAGAACAGAACGAAGGGAAGAAGACAAGGGGAAGAAAAGTGAACGGAGAGAAGTAAAAAATGGGAACGTTTTCAAATGATCCCAAATGACTTTAATATAGACTGATAAGTATAAATTTGACAAATACCTATTTTCAATACTTTTTTTGAAAAGATTTAAAGAAAATATTTGTTCTAGTATAAACATCATATGTCAGATGACAATCTTACCTATTTTTTACTCTTCTTATAAAAGACTATCCAAATCAACTTTTTATATTGTAATAATCTTCTGGTCATTTAAACTGTCAAATATTCTGGCCAAATAGTGAAAGGTATATCTTAAGTTATTAAGACTGAAAAATGGGTGCAGAAAAATAAAACACTAAAAAGAAAAATCGTCTCATCTCTGGCACCCCTTTTTAGGTTATCACTTTAAGGAATGTAGTTTATTTGACAAAGAATGTTACTGAATCTACAGTGAAGCCAAGCAATTTAGCAGAGCTTGTAAGAAATAAAACAGAATAAAAAGAGTACAAACACACTATCAGCTTAAAGTGTAGTCCTGAGCTATTACACTGTAATCCTAAACATACTGACTGAAAAAATTTTCATTCTGATCTTCAATAAAATGGGTTAAAATATTAAATTGCATACTTTGGTATCACTCATAAGCATTACAGGAAAAAATCTGTTTTTCTTCTGTTTCCAAAGATACGAGTTTAATATGTTTTAAGCATCACTTAAAAGTCACAGATATAATCATCCTATATTACAATGCATATTAAATTTCAAATAGCAAACTTTGTATTATAAGAACTTTATTTTGGAACCAGCAAGAAAAAGGAAAATTGTGTTTTTAAAACAGCACAATTTCTTCTTAAAGGCAGTAAAAACATGTACTGAATCATGTTTACAATTTCTTTTTATCAAACAGAAAGACCAGAACCAAATTTGTGGATCAATTTTAACAAATCTGCAGTCTCATAACAGTCTGTCTCATTCTTACATTGCCCTTCATTTGGATCTTTTTTCATGATTTCTATAATTTTGGTTTGATTTTAGAGCTGTTTGCCATATTCTTCATTCTTTTCTCCCTCATTTACTTTTTCATAAGTATATTTTTATGAGTTACTGAAATTCTGTGTGGAGCAAAATTAGTACACGGAATAATTTAACTTTAAAATACATTAATGAAGCTTATTATTTAAATCTTTTTACAAAGGAATCAATAAATCTTGTTAATTGCCAACAAATCTTTATTGGTAAATATATCTATGTGTTTGCATTTTCTTATGAGAAAATACATTTACCCTTTCATTTAAAACTAAATTATACACTAGGAAAAAGTTTTTTAAGAAATTGACAATGTGTCTAATATTTAATTTCATTACAGTGCCAAGCGTTAAGTACATGTTACTGTGCACTTAACAAAACCTACTGTTTTATGTGGCATAAATTCACTTGTTCTTCCTAATATTGAAACATACATAATGGGAACTACTGCCTTCTAGGAGGCAGACCACAAACTGATTAATCCAATTTGCAAAGTTCAATTTCCTGCTCTGCAGTAAGTAGACAACAAATGTGTTAGGATCAAATTAATCAAATAACTTAAGCCACTGTCTGACGTTCTATTTTACTCTGCTATTATTAAAGAGTCTATTAATTGTTAAAGGTATTCATTTTCAATATCCTCAATACACTGCTATTTTAATATTTGAATCCATGTTTCTTGAAACATTTTATTTTGCCTTCATCATGATTTTATTACTGAATTTAAACAAGGTTCAAAACAAAGCCACAAAGCAGTATCACAAATTTATCTGTGAATATCCTGGCTGTTTTCTTTCCTTTATCCTCTTAAAAATAACACTCAAAATTAAATCTGTATATTTATGTAGCTAATAACCATGTTGGTAGAAAGTACATGGAATGATAATTCAATCACAAGAACACTTAAAGTTAAAAAAAAAAAAAAAGCCTACGAGCCATTTTTTCTTGCAAATATAAAAGGAAAGCACTAACACCCAATCTTACAGGTAAGGGCTTGGCTACTCCAATCCTCACAGTTCCTGGCAGTGCTCCCTTCAGGGCTTCCACTGCCTCTTCCAGACTGCTGTGTTCCAGGTTAATGTCATTGACAAACATGAGGCGATCTCCAGGAAGAAGTCGTCCGTCCTTTTCAGCAATGCCACCAGGCACCAAGGAACGAATTACAATCACAGTGCTTGCTGGATCAACTGGATCCTAACAAAATGGAACAGCAATGAAAATACATTTCCTTTTTACATTGGAAAACCATTTCTGGGTCATCCTGTCAACTGTATTTGATGAGTAACTGCTTCTAGTACCTTAACAACTTCAAACAAAAAATACTATACACAATTTCCAATGAATTACTTGGGTAACAGTTATGTCTATTTCATATTAGGGAGTTTATGAAGAGTTTGCCAGAAACAATAGCACTCTCATTTGCTAATGTTCCTGAGCAGACATATTATACAGACAACTTAAAGATTACAATTTTGAGACATCAAATTTTATACCTCACTTGAGGGCTAAACATCAGATCTATTATTATTAATAGCACTGTTAATAGGAATTACTGGACGTGAGTGTACTAACGGTAGCACCCATTCTTTTGAAATGAAACACGAGAAAAAAAATCCAAGAGTATATGGTGATGCAGTATTTTCATTTACACAGCAATCTCAACATTAGAACGTAATGGCAGAATCAAAGCCAAGGATACAACTCCCTGCAGTGAACTGAGCCAGCTCTCTGTCTGGTACTAGCACTGGGCAACTGCTATGCTCGGTCAGACAGCATTCCCTCCTCAGTCACTCATCACACAGCACAGAGCAGGTAAGAACACAGGTTGCACTTGACCATTTTAGACATATGTGTACATGTAGTGCAATAACTGGAATATTATCATACTATAAATGTATTATGTATATAAGACAAAAGAAATACATATCTAATATTTTATGAATTATAATTAAATATGATTCATCAGTCAAGAACACAGAAATGTACTTCTCAAATAACAAAATGTATTTTGTTATTTTCTAAAATGTATTCTGTGTTCCCAAATTTCTAAGAGTTTATAAAATATCTGCATGTGGGGCTGCGATTTAGCTCAGCGGCATAAGCACCTGCCTGGCAAGTGGGAGGTCATGAGTTTGAACCCCAGCACCAAATAAATAAATGAAATAAAATAAAATATCTAAGTGAATTCAAAGTTAAAAGAAATCTTTTATGATGATAAATTACTGTTTTTAAAAACTCACTAAAAACAAAATATTTTTAATGACTGCCACATTTTTCTTTGCAGTCAACATTATATATTTGAGTATATGGCATCATTTTTAAAAAGTTGCTCAAAGTAAGCAGATGATACTTACCTGATAATCTAAAATGCTAAAACCAAGGCCTCTGCTCCCTTTCTCCAGCTCTATGTGCTGAACGGTAGCCTCCCACATGGTCAAAGGTGCTTGAACCTCCTCTGTGATCTGACTCAAATCAGGCATTGGCAGCACTGGATCTTCTGTCTCCGAGGACCCAATGAGCTCGCCTAGGTCTACATGAGGCTGGAAAACACATCAGACATCCCTTAGTGCAGAGGCACTAGAGTAGCAGACACAGACACCAACATGGCCAGGAAAAATAAAGGGAATAAAGGTTAATTCAATTTCATGAGCAGGTATAAACATCAAATTTAGAAAAATATGTTAATTAGAAATTCTAATTTGTAGACTGTCTTTGTTTTAAGTCAATTATGGACAACATAGGACCATAGATTCAAATCTCTCCATCTATTTTACCGTAATTGTCTCACTTATACCACATTAAAATGTATATGGACATATATGATTCTTGCCTTTGATCTATGCATGATTTGGAATTGTTTTCTATTCTACACTACTCTCATCACCCATTAAATTATTAACTTTATATTTTAAAAGTTTTCAAAATTTATTCCATTATTCCTTAAGTATAATGTAGGTCAAATTCTATCATCTCTCATTATATTTTAAATGAGATTTAGCTAGGCTATAAATTATGCATAGCCCAAATCTTAACTTTAGAAATGTACGATGCATCCTCCAAAAAGCTGATTAACAATATCACTTGACATTTTGATCTAAAAAGAAAAGCAGACAGGAAAATGAGTGTGTCTAGATGTCACAGAAAATTATTTTACATATATTATGAGTTTGAATTTCTTATTTTAAAACTAGAGTGTGCAAATTAGTAAGACCCCTATATACTAAAATGATCTGTCCACTCAAATTTAGCTATTCCTTTTGTGTCAGGCTTGGAATTGATATAAAAGTATATTTTTCTATATGTGTACTATATACACTATACTTCAGTTTTATCTTTTGTAAATGGGGATAAATGAATATATATTCCATAGAAATATTGTAAGCAAATTATACAAATTTCTGTATGTGATAACATATAATATTATTACTTGTACTAGCATCTAAAGCAACTCTTTGAGGCAGGCGATATGACAAATATTACAGAAAATAAAATGCAAAAAGATGAAGTAACTTTTGCCCCAGGTCACAAGGCTAGCGAGTGTCAACTGTGATTCAAACCCTGGTCTGGCTGACATCAAGATCAATCTTCTAATCATGAGGTGTGCAAGGAAATCAAATATCAAAGAAAAAAAATGGCTCAGATATTTAGCATAATATATCCCTTCCATTATATATTCAGATTAGCCTCATTTCTAAGTTTCATACCTTCTCTGTTAGTTCAATGTCACTTAAGTCCAGGCTATCCAGTTCTGACTGGGTGGTGGGAGGTACAGTTCTACGACAGCACACCATTGTCACTTCTATAGGCAATTCTTTCAAAATATTGACAACATCTTGATGATTTTCCCCAAGCAAAGTTATGCCATTCACCTATAGACAAAGATGCATTACTCAAGTAAGAAATATTTACTAATATAACTATTCTTCTGAAAACATTTTTTATTAAATACAAATACTATTGTGGTGATGACCATAGTTCTGCAAAGCCCAGAAATGTAGTTAGACTTGTGAAAGTACTATCCAAAGCAATTTATACACAAGTTTAGAGTTTTGCTGTAACTGGAGCTTTTAAAGTACTCTGAAAAACCATTAGGTTTCATTCACATTTTATCTGCCAATGTAGGAATCTAGCAAAGGTAAGCTAATGAAAATATCCACAAGGATGAAGGAGAGAAGTCATTAAAAACTGGCATTATTAATTAACAAACTGCATTTATTAAATAAAAAATGGAAGTTGGCACAGTCTGGCATGGTTGCACATGTCTGTAATTCCTCGGCATGGTAACATAGGCCTATAATCTCAGCACTGTGGGAGAGTGAGTCAGGAGTATTTCAACTTCAAGCCCAACCTAAATGACTTAGCAAAAACATGTTTATAAAGAAAACTTTATAAAAGGTCTGGGGAGAGACTTTTCAGTGTTTGTCTTTATATTCTCTGTTGAAAACTGGATTACTTATTCTAAATTAAATATATATTTAAAACTCTTCCAAGTAAGTTTTATAAATTCTCTGGACTTAAAGCAAAATAAAAACCAACATAAAATAAGGTCTGAAGCTCCATGTAGATACAGATTTGAAATTTCTGCTTTGGGTGGATTTTAATAGATTTGTTATTCTCAGGAGGGGAAATTTAAAATAAGATCTTATAAATTAATCATATTAAGCCCCCAGCAGCCTTTTGAGTTTCATTTATGGAAGAAAAGAAAAGCATAGCTCCATACTTCCAAAAGCTCATCGCCACTGAAGAGTTTCCCACTGTGTCCAACAGGACCTTCCGGTAGGACAGATCGGATAAAATGATGGCCCGCAGTTGCCTCCAGACTTATCCCCAATCCACTGTTCTCACTAAACTTGCTCACGTGAGCCACCTGAAAGCGGAAAATCATCACAATTTTTATATATTCTTCCTTTTCTTTCTACTCATGCATATATTTTATGTTCATTTCAAATTTTTCAGTTTTCTAGCAAAAGCTTCAAAAACCTTATAGTAATCCTGCAAAGTTTTGAAGCTTTGCCTCTGAAAGAATATTCATGTCTACTGGTTTCTTCAACCAAAAATACCAAAGAGCAGCAGCCAGCTGCAAGCACCCAACATGTTTTGCAGGGGTAGAGATGCTCATAAAAGATGGCAGGCAATTAGAACTTCTTTAATGCCTGGCCAAAACAAGAGTACAGAAAAGACATATACTTAGCACTCACTACTATGTGCCAGGGACTGTGCTAATCCCATTTCACAGATTACCTCATTTGCTTTTCAGATACAGGAATAATTTTTCTTCTTGTATTAAAAAAGTAAAATGAGATCTAGAGAGGTTAATTTAGCCAATGTTGTACAGGTAGAAAAGGACTATCAGACAATCCAATCCAACCCTACAATGCTCTGATTTTAAGTTGTTCTGAGGGAAAATAACAGTTGAAAACATTAGAAGTAAATAAAGGCTTCTTATATTCACTAATGAATCATGTCAGGAAATTTTTGTATAGAATCCAATACTTATAATAATATCAGTATGCATGCTACAGATGATTAACTTTTATCTTTTATTTCCAGTCTAATGAAATTGATAAAAAAAAAAAAAAACTCAGAAGAAGTTGTTTCCTTAAAAAGAGTTCTTTCACATTTTAATGATAACTTACGTAGTAGTGTCACTTTCAGAAGTGGAAATCGTCTGACTTTGAAATGTAATGCGGAATGAATTCTTCTCTCCACTAAAACCCAACTTAGATGCCACCTCCTCTGAGAAGCCTTCCAGACCCCCATTGATAGCATTTATCAGTCCTCTCTGTTATACCATTCTCCATTATTTCACTTATGCAGCATAACTGACATCAAACAATATGAACTTAGTTCTGTGTCTCATTTATCTTTGTCAGCTCAAGGCCCATAAACAACTTGCTTTTTTTTCTCATGGAACACTTCTGCTGTTGGTAGACTACTGGGAGTATCACCAGAGACTTATGTGCACAAGGAACAGAGATGTTTGGTGTTAGTTCTGATGGCTGTGACAAAATGGCTAAAAATGGACTCCCTTCATTATTCAGTTACTACCTAAAGAATCTCAGTCTCAATTACACATGTCAGTCATCTTAACGCTACCCCACACATGCTACATTAATCATTTCTTAGCTGGACCTTAGGGCATTTTTCTTTAACTCAATTAAAAATGTAATAACAGATCTACTTACTTAATTTTACTTTAAAGGTTAATCATCATAACTGTTTAAAAGATTATTGTTATGAAAATTAAAAGAATACTACATAGTAAAGAAGGGCTTGGTAAGTGCTAATAACATTATACATTCGTATCTAATGTCTTTTATCTGTTCTGACATATACATATAAGCAGTAAGGAAAATTCTATACAATATAGTGTTTCATTTTTCTTTTTGAAATCCCAAAAGAAATTTTGTATATATCTAGAGGTGAATAATGGTGTCAATTTTGTTAAACTTCCCTTTAGAATGGCAGATTGTGATAGTTCAACTATATATACAAACTTTTAAGTTATAGGTGCCATAAAGAAAAGTATTCTGAAAAAATTTCTTAATACATAAGAGTGAGAAAGAAGGTGAGGAGAAATGATGTTCTTTAACTCTGTACATAGGTCATGATGAGTTTCATATTATTCTCAAGTAAATACTATCACTATTTTGATTCTATATATGATAGGCTTAAAAATTAAAAAATACTTGTGCCTGTATTATTTATGCTAACAGAAATATTGTAATGTTGATGATATTCTATTCTGTTTATATAAGCTCCTTGGTTACTGTGTAACATTCTCCATCTTGAATTTTCTAAGACCTAGATTAGAAATTGAGGTCACCTTTTAAAAAAACTAGATATTTGCTAATCCTCCGGACTCCGTCTGATGATTTTTATCAGGTACAAATAAGAAAATTAGGAGGGTAAGCCAACTTACCACTATTTCATAGTTAATTCCCATAACCCTCTGCCACTTTGTCAGCAGGGTGGTTTCTCGTTGTGCATCTTCTGTTTCCTCTACCTCATCTGAGAGTAATGGATATCCTAAAATGGCCAAGACATTTAAGTGACAAACCACAAGTCTCTACATATTAGCCTTCTGTACCAGACACAGTGATCAGAACCTGTCTGCTATGCCAAGTTCACCCTACAATTGTTACTCTCATTTCTACATTTTCTGTAGTAATTTAATTTAGAACCATGTTCTCTTTTAATAGATATCTTTTAAATCTTAACTATACTATGCTTCCATTAAAGTAGTCAGATATTATCTAACTGTTATTTAAAAGAATGGGGACGCTAGGTAGGTCTAGGATTCACTTGGAAGTCTTTTGGAGGCTCTGATAAAAGTCCGTATCAACTCGATTTTAGTTTCTCACTTTAACTTCCATGTAGTACTCAGGAGAAAAAAGGGTTCTGCTATTACTGAAGAAAAAGAAATTAACAAATAATACATACAATTTTACATAAAATTGAGAAAATATATATTAAACAAATATTGAGACTAAATGCAAAACAAAAGCCTATAACTAAAATCCCACCAACTGGAAAAAAGGAAAATAAAAATAAAAAAGCAAAATTATCTTCAAATTGCATAAACAATATTGAATCTAAAATGCTTATCTAAAACAAGAAACTATAGAAGAATTATAAATTCATACACAATTATCCCTATATTCATATGCAATTATTCCTACATTCATATTTAATTATTCCTATAAGAACCATACTCATAATGGCTGCCTTTTAAAAAAAAATCTCTCTTAAGCAGTATTCTCTGATTTTAGCATTCCAATTCCAAATTTAAAGTGTTGCAAAATTCAGATTTCGTGTGATCTGCACCCTTTTGGTGGAAATTTAAGTGCACTCACTCCACGCATATTCTTCCTGTTTGTTATGTTCTACGTTAGTAAAATGTTTTCTTTTATCATCAGAAGAGATTACATACAAGGTATTATAATTTCAAATAATTGAGAGTAAAGATGTAGCTCAGAGGCAGCATGTGTGAGGTTCTGAGTTCAACCCCGAGGCAACAGAGAGAGAGAGGATTACCTGCTCTTCCAAATAAGGTTTTTTCTTTTTAAAATTAAATCCACTACTCAGAGAGATATCTAAGAAGCAGAATCTTTAAATATGATTCTGGGAGAAACAGACATGGGTCATAAGAGTCCTACCATCTCCACCCACTCTCATTATTTTCTTGTGTTATACAGCTAGACAAGGATTTAAGGAGGGTGAGATTAAGGATAACAATGTGCAAAATCAGTAAGCCACTGATTAAAATTTTGAAGTTCATAATTTTCAACCAACCTATGTTTTTAAATTTTATTTTAAAAAGAATAAAATCTAATAAAACAAAATAGAATAGAACCAATCAAAACAAAACAGTGAATGCAGAACATCAAAACAAGATAATAGGAAATGAACAATGGCTACCATAATGCCTCTTGTTATCTTCAAAGTAGCAACCAACCTATGTTTATAACCATTCTGAGCTCCCAATGGGCTCAAGACTAGATGTCAGGTAAGACAGACAAACAGACAGACAGCCCTGTCCTCTGATCTTACTGAGAATTCAAATGATTTGTTCACTTGTGTAATGGATTAAATTTCTGTGGAAGGGGCAATGATATCTTATGATGTGTTTGAGACTTATAAAAGATCAGATGCATAAGAAGCACAAAGTTCTACTCCATTTATTTGTTAAAAAGAGATTCTAGGGCTCCTAATTACAGGTATAGCATAACCCCTCCTCAAACATACAAATTTCTCATTAGATGTCTTTACTAGAGCAAAACAGATAGTCCTGAGCTTTCAAGATAATCCTACACCCATGTCTACTTACTATCTTAAATTTCATGCTCTGAATATTTCTATTCTTTCCTTGTATTCTTGATATTCACATTAGTCTAAATAATTTCTTTACCTACAACTATAAAAATGGCAGAATACGATATGTGTGAATCCTATACATGTCCCTTTTATGATACTTTACAAACAAATATCCATTTAAAATAATGACAAGAAATCAAGATTTAAAGCAGAAAAATTTCAATGAGGGGGTACATTGAAGAGCTAAATTTTAATAAAGGGTACAGTTCACATGAAGTCTCAGACTCTGTCCAGTGGATTTAAGTCCCCAAAACACATGAAGCAATGACACAGGTACAGGGAGAATCTGCCATGTGACACAGAGATGGCAGCATCACTCCAACATGCCTTACTTAACGATGCTGCTACACAAAGTGTAAGCAGCTTGATAAAGGAGTTCTTAGAAAAGTTTAATAATTTCTCAGTACTGTTATTTTCCAAACCACCCTCCCAATGTTAAATCTTTTAAAAAGTGAAAAAACAACTTTCGAAAACTGGATAGTTCACTCTACAAACTTACAGAGACTTATTTATGTTTATCTTTAAACACTATATTTTATCATTTATTTAGTTTATGTTCAGTAATGCAGAGACATGACATTTATACAAAAACAAAAGGATTAAGTTTAAACTATATATATATAAAACAATTCATTCCTAAAGGATCCTGGTTTAGAAAAAAAGTAGAAAAAATAGACCAATTTAGCAAGAAAATATACCAGGTGTAAATGAACTATTTTAATATATGAGCAATTATTTATATCTATTTGGATAAATAGGGACTTATGACCTTCACTTTTTAAAAGATCTTTAGTAACATATAGTATTATCCATTAGCATTTAATTTCAATTGCAAAAACCATTTCTCTAAAAACATAATACAGAATATCACAGCCTGTATCTAAATATTTACCTTCTTCTTCAATTGGTAATATATTGACATTTCTCCTAAAAGATAAAGAATCTTCATCTTTTTCACAATTTTCTAAAAACAAAAACATTTTAGTAGTTATTGCAGTAATATCATTAAGGACTTGACTTTTCTAAGCCACTGTAGTTATTTGGACATCTATGAGAAAGTCTTTTTGATTTTTTCAGGGGAGGGGAGATAAATTCCATAGTAACTATGGGCAAAAGAAAATCTTTCTGTAAATGGACACATACTCTTCTGGATCTGCTTCCCTATGTTCTAGGACTGCAGGAAGTATTTATTATACAGCATAAACACCAGAATAGTTAACAGCCTTACAAATAAAATACTGCTTTCCAGACAGTAGCCTGACATCGAACAATAAACTCTCCATCAGTGAGCAGCATAAAATTTTAGTGATTTGCAGAGATAGTCAAGTAGTAACAGCTTATGAATGGCACAGCATTTCCAAATGCAGAATTCAAGTTGATCCCTTCAAGGAAAGGTTATTCAGAGTCAGCATTGCGCTCATCTAACCACTGTGATGACATGCAAAGGTAAGGGCTGGACACAAAGGTAGATGATACAGAATTAGAAAATGTAATGACTGGTTTATAACTAAGAACCAGTGACAGAATGGATACAACAGACAGAAGTCAGTATTCAAAAGCCCATTATATAGTTTATGGACTGGTTGGCAGTCCTAACTAATTTCAACTTTTTCCTTGGTTTATTATAAATAGTTCAGGATAAAAACCACTCTTTAAATTATTTTAGAATTGGGGAAAAAGTCTATGTAGTACAAAGGTCTAACTAAACATGAGATTAATTTGGCATTACCTTTGCTTATCCGGGGATTAGCTAGAGACACATCCGCGTCTTTGGTGACATCCTCCCTTGGCAGGAGCTCTGTCTCCTGCTTCATTTCTCTTCTCATTAGCGTCAGGCGCACAGTTTGTCCTGTGCGTCGCAATACCTCTACTGCTTGCTGATTGGTAAAACCTTGAAGGTTGGTGCCATCTACCTGTGATAAAGACATGTTCAAGAATAAACGAATATTTGTATTGCTAACTCACAAATAACATATTTACTGCTTATTACTATGAAAAAATGGAAAATAAGTATTTTTCTAATTGGCAGATAGATGATAATCAGTTGTTTAGGGAACCAGCATTAATTTAGGTACACTAGAATCTCTTGAGAGGGCTTTGTTTGCTTTAACATGGATCCAGAGGTAATACCTCTAGAAATTATTAACCAATAGTTTCAGGGTAAATCCAGACTTCTGTAATTTTTAAAATGTTCTTTTATATTCATTGAGTGATCCTGAGGCACGATCAACTTTAGAAATCAACACTATAAAGGATATAAATGTATAGAAGGCAATGCAAAAGCACTTACTGAGGGCACAGATATATTCCATAAACACATTTAACCCACCTCAAAAAATACAATGTAAGTACCTTCTTATTTAATATGTTTGTGTGCATTTGTGTGTGTATATTCTCCTTTTCTAATTCACAAATAAAAACATTTTGAAAATACCTCCATGGTCTTTTCAAAACATCAGTATGAGTCTCTCAACCATTTATTCTATACAGTACTGCTTAGGACAATCTTTCCAACTCAAAAACGGCTTATAAGGTCCCCACTTTCTATAACTGCCAGCGCCCTCATCAATTCTTCCTTCCTGTATGATCCTTCCTACAGCCATTGCAGCTCGTTTCTAATCATCTGACCTGTAGGTTCCCTTGAGTGCACTGCAGCCCATGCTTTGTCTCATCACCTCAGCAAGAAAACACCTGTAATTTCTTTAGCCCTTATGTCAAAATTTATTTACCATAATTACTTCCGTATCTCTGTTTACAAAGATCCCTTTTACCCATTTTTCCTCGTAACATTTTTCAGAATTTTAAGTTAACATTTCCAGTCATGAGATGGTTTATAATTATCTCCTCCAAGAATGGATTCTATGTTATTTTTGTTTGTAACATAGTCAATAAAATATGGTACTAGCTACACAGCAGATATTCACTCAAAATGGGAGTACAGAGCCACTGGAACACCTATCCAATATTTATTTGGAAAGAAAGTAACCTTTGAGGTATGTTAAAAACCACAGAGCACAACATCATTAAAAAATTCATAAGTCACAATGAAAATTTTAGAAAAGTAGAATGATAAATTTAAAGCTGAAAGTCACAGTCAATGAAAATCTTTTTGAATCTGAAATGGAATATGAAATGGCTGTGCTGTGTGATAGGTTTTATAAACACAAGGCTAGCCAGACTGGGCAGTCAAATGCTCACTAAATGAATGAAAAGAATGAGCCCTAGATAAGCACTTTTCAAGAAGACAAAGAACACTTACTACAGAAGTTTCTGGAAGAATATAATACAACTTCAAATTAAACATTTGAAAAACTTATTTTATATGTAACTACACACACACACACACACACACACATATATACACCTGTATTAATATATCAATATGTAGTATATAACAACATATTTTAATACATAGAAGAGATGAAAATTTTAAAAATGAGAAGCTAATCATTTTCATTAATGGGATATTAAGCAAAAGTGAAAGTGGATCTAGATGAAGATCTGACATTTTTTAGGTCCTTTAAATTGTGTATGATTCTTGTTTCATATTTTAAAGAAAAAAACAATAAAATGGTACAAAATTTTGAAACAAGATTGTAGGAGAGACACAATAGTTAGTATACTGTGCATTGTTATCTTCAAAGTGGTTAAGTAGTTGTGTGTATTATAAGACAAAGCCAGACTCCAGTCACTTCAAACCTACCCAACTCCTCCATTCCCAGGGAATGATGGGACTCAAATAAGACAAACTGTGTAACAGACTGATAATAACTAAAGCACAACAACTTTGATGGAAAGTTAAGTCAAATATACCCACGGGGACACTCCAGCAACCTAAGAAGGGACTCAGAAAGAGCTTTAGTCACCTCCAAGGTTTCCCAGCACAAAGCCATCTTGCCGCACTACCAGTCAAAAGCCAAAGTGTCCCATAATTCTGTGACAGAAGAGGTTCTCAGATATGGAAAGTTCAGAAAGTAATTCTTTTCTTATAAATTTTAAAGCAGTAGCTAAGTGACATTAATCCAGTTTAAATTCAAATAAGAAACTGGAGCATGGAAGGTCTACTACTAAGCAAAATGTAAGTAAAATACAAATCTTAATAATACTATTACAACAAAACTGCATTCAAATAATTCAAGTCATAGTCCTTAAAGGAGAAGATACATAAAATGGTATGTAATAATCTGTTTAAAACAAAAAACAACTGTAAGCAATATAACAGTCTTTAAACAAGCCTGTTTAAATACATCACAGTAGATTCACATTTGCTTACTGATTATACCTCTAGACACATTTTTAGTGAAACTAACAAATATAACACTATTTAAATACAAATACATGGCAAATTTCTGAATTTTACTCCAGCATGTTCAAATTTTATAATCTTTAAATCTCAAAGACAAAACCTAAAATAAATGAACATATTATGTACTCTCATGCTAATACAGTAAAAATATATAAATAAGGCAAAAATCCCTACATTGAGAGTCTATGAAAACTTTTAGAATGACAGAGTTTTAGGCTGCAAAGATTATATTTGCAATAGGCTTTCATCATTTGACATGTTAAAAAATAAACTTTTAAGAAAAATATAACATACATGTTTTTACTTATTAATAAAATTACAGTATGTAAAGAAAAATGTTTTCTTTATTTTCAAAATTTAGTAATACAGATTTTAAAATACACTCCTTATCTAAATGTCAGAAGATGGTACTAGCATGGAAAAATTAGCATGGAAAAATTCCCACCGTGAAATAGCCACAAATTACTTAAACTAGACTTCAGTTCAAATTTCACAATATCTTCATCTATAATATGGAAATAATACCCACTTTCCAAGAATTACAGTACTGGGATACTCAGAAGATGGATTGATTAGCAGCAGAATAAAAAGTACTAAACATGAAAACCCCAAGGCTTCATCGGAGCCATTTGCGTTCAGTGTGTTTACACCCATGATGCATATGAGCCACAGTCACCAAAACCTCAGGAGCTTCAGTGAGTTAGCTCTGTACTGTACTCAAATAATCCCATGATTATTTGAGGTCAGTTCAGACTTACTGACACTACAGGCAGCACCACAGTGGATCTAGGCACAATGGCAGCAGAGTGCCTCTCTTACAAAAAGAAGACAATTACCACTTTTATAATACCACTATTATAGGCAAAGTCAATGTCACAATTAAGAAGAACAGACATAGGGAAGCAATGCTAGTTATAGGCACAATTCACAAACATGGTTTCTCAGCACACTCAAGTGTAGTTTCCCAAGGCCTTCTCCAGTATGGCCTATACCTATTAATGGAGAATCTCAACCTATTAACAAAGGCATAGAATAGCAAAGGCAACATTGGACACGTTTCCCTATTGATATGCTTATTGAGCATTTTTTATCAATCATAATTTTATACTGTTTTTAGCATGGATCACCTACTACTGAACTTAAAAAGAGTAAGAGTATGATTTTGATCAACAAGTTTGGCTAATTGAAAAAAAAAAGCATAAGTCCTTTGTCAAATATTTGTTACCCAGAATACCAGCACACGAAAAAGCAGGTGGGGGTAGTGGGGAGTAGACCCATTTTCATTATTTTCTGCCTCCTGCAATCCCTATAATGAAATCCTAGGATCCACAGAACACAATTTGTAAAAAAAAGAAAAAAAAATTTAAATGTAACAAACAATTTTAAACTGCAAAGTAACACTTCTTCAAAACAGAAATTTCTTAATCTTCTCAGCATACCATAACTGCAAAAAAAAAAAAAAGACTATAACTTCAATAGCTACTGTCAAAAGAAAAATAGACAAAAAAGACTATAGTTGTGAAAATGCAACTGAATGTGGAAAACTCTACTATCAATATATCAAAAGTCCGCAAGATGGTGATATCTTTTACAAAACTAATGGAGGAAAAGTGCTGTACAGTGTTCCCCAGGAGTTTGAGGTGCTTCTCCACTTAAAGTAAATGAATGCTGCTAAATATTGAACATCAGAAATGAAAGCACTAATAATAGTGAAGAGAAACTGTTTTACTCAAAACAAGAAATTTACTTCTATTATTTCAAGGTAACAATTTCTTTATCACTGAATTGCTTAAGAGGAATTATGTATGAAATTCCACTTACGTAAAATGAAGACAGTGGTAAGTTTAAGAGTAAGCATTTTGAGTCTTTTTCAATTATTACATAACCATTTTAGGCCTTAGGTAAACATCTCTCCAGAATTAATAAAAATGTATTTATGTACATATGCCAGATTCCTTAAATAAAGATCTGATTTGATTCTCCTAAAAATCCTATGGAAGAAGTTTTCCTACTGGTGGTAATTTGGTGGTAAAGAAACTTAAGACTTCATTTGCTGAAGAGTTAAACATAAAATTACCATAAGATCTAGCACTTCTACTCCTTAGTATAGAACAAAAAGAAACAAAAACAGAAACCCACATAACAAATTTCACATGAATGTTTATAGTAATATTGTTCATGATAGGTAAAAAGTAAAAATAATGCAAATACAGTACTCATCAACTGATGCTTCAGTAAATGTGGTAATTTCATAGAACATTATTTAGCAATAAAATGAAATGAAGACCAAATACATGCTACAACATAAATGAATCTTGAAAACATGCTACGTGAAAGAAGTAAATCATAAAAGGACCAAATCTTCAGTGACTGCATTTATAGGAAATGTTCCAGAAGAGGCAAATGTATAGGGTCCAAAAGTAGATTAACGAACACCTAGGAATAGGAGGATGGGAGAGTTAGGAGATGGCTGCTAATGAGTATGAAGCTTCTTTTTAGAGAAATGAAAATGTCTTAACATGAATTATGGTATAGAATTCCCTACACTGTGTATATACTGTAAGTCACTGAATTATAAGCTTTAAATGGGTAAATTTTACAGTACGTGAATGGTATATCCTACTAAAGCTAAATCTTTAAAAAAGTTTTCTAATGAACCAACAAAGATAGTTGAAGAAAAACAATCTGTTTTTAATTCAGCATCATTCCAGTTGTACAACTATTCATTCTCTCTCTTTCCTTTTTCTACCAAAAAAAAAAAAAAATACAATGGCAATTTCTACTGCATGATAAAGGCAGACATATGAAGGAAGCTTATTCCAGCAAATAACCAGATTGGTTTGCAAGCTCAATTTGATATGTTGAGTATACTCTTAAGAGATGAACAAGTATAAAGAATTTCACAGCACCAAACTCAGTAAGTCTCAAGGAGATCCAATGTACCTTAAGAGGCAGATAGAAGGAACTTTGCTACTTTTTAAAAATATATATAACAGAAAATTCACTATATTAACCATTTTTAAATAGTTAAAGTGAAGTACACTGCTGTGTAACACACTTCCAGAACTTTTTCATCTTGCAAACTGAATCCCACTAGAAAGATTCACATTCACTTCTCTTCTGCCCCTAGTAACCAACATTCCACCTTCTGTTTCTCTCAAGTATGACTGCTTGGACATCTCACTTAAGTAGAATTACATAGTATTTGTCTATTACTAGTTTACTTCAACAAGCATAACGGCCTTGACATTCATCCACACAGTAGCATATGATATTATTTCATTCTTTTTAAAGACTGAAGAGCATTGCACTATGTGTACAAACCACATTTCACCTATCCATCCTTGTATCAATAAACATTTAAGTTGCTTCTGTAAGTTGACTACTATGTATAATACTGCTATGACTGAGGACTCATTTTAATAGTCTATCTTGTCACTACTATTAAGCTTTCAAAAGAGCAGCAGAGATAATTAACAATAACAAATACCTATTAAATAAGCATTCCCAAAAATGTCTTCAAGATTAATATATATTTGGGGAGGGAAGACTTTGCAATTACAAAAGTTTTTAGGAAACACTGAGGTAAAAATGTAAACAGATTGTCATAGGATTTCTCAGGGTCTTCTGTCTTTCAGTATGCACTGTGAGTCCCTCAGAAACCATATTATGTGCAGTTTTTCCTAACTATAGCACGTGGTGAGGATTTTGTGAACTTGAGTTTCAGGGAATAATTTGGGTAGCTCAGTTTCTATTAATATTGAACTGAAAGTTGCATTCTTTCATGCTCTGCCTCAAACAGCAATATGCTTAGAAACATACTGATGGTATTACCATATGATCAGTTAATTTAATAAGAAAGGGTGGATCTACTTATTTTATTTTTGAGTATTCTTAGAACTGAAAGATGTTCCACCCATGGAGTCAATAGTTATAATATCATTTGGACTAAAAACAAGGTATGTATCGCAAATTCAGATTACATTAAAATGTCACGACATTTGACCTTTATCTATGGAATGCCTACATATATATTATTAAAATATTAATATAACAAATTTATTACAGTCAGAAATCGAATATACCAGATATTGTTCAACAAAAACTTTCTTCTTTAGAATTGAAATTAGTAAAGCTTCCTCTAATGTTTTATTTTGCTTCCATGAAACAATGAAAAAAGTTGTTAGGTTAACAGCATCAAGTTCAAAGCAAAATTATCAGCTAACTGTATTTCCCAAAACTAAGTAAACTAGAACAATACAATTCTCAAACATGAAAATTCACCATGCTATCATTAAATATGTGACTTACTGCTATAATTTGGTCTCCAATTTGGATTCTTCCATCATGTTCAACGGCACTGCTTTTTGTAATGCTCTTTACAAAAATTCCTGATGGTTCTAAGATTAGAAACAGATTATTTTTCACTACTTACAAAATATACTGAGAGAGTATTCATCTCCCATTCTCCAAATAAAAAAAATTCTAATTGGAAATAAGCATGTATTAATAACTCACGCAAACAACAACTGGAACAAAACATAAGGCAATTATTCTGTCATAGCAGTCACCTACATTGTTTCTAAGGAAGTTTTCAACCAACTAATCCAAAATCTTCAAAATATGCAATGCTGATTAAATATTTCATAATATATAGATTAGAAGCAACTGCTGCATTTTAAAAAATACTTAAGGTTTAATTTACCTAACTTTTTATCTCCAATATAACCAGCAATAGTAATTCCTAATCCTTGAACGTTTTTAGTCAGTTCCACATCAAATGTCTCATTTTCTTCACTCTTCTGAGTAGAAACATCAACCTGAAATAAAAGTACATATATTTCTATGCATATATATATATATATATATATATATATACACACACAAAGAAATAAAAAACAAGCTAAACTCAAAAAGTCATAGCTTTTATTATACATTTTATAATGTGACATAATAATGTATCAGAAAACTACACTTGAGATTACTTCTTCAATGGTAATAACATGAACTCAGCATCACATTTTTTTCACAGAAAGGAGTATCAAGAATAAGACTTCCTTTACCTTAATAGGAAGGATACATTATTGTTTGCATATCCACCATTTTAAAACTTAAGAATTTTCTTATGAAATTCTGTGTTCAGAGTTGGTTTATCTAATTTCTGAAGAATTCAGAATGTTTTCAACAAAAGAACTCATATTTTGGATTCAAGTAAACAAGTTCAAATCTAGCTTTCTCAACTAGTATCTCTACACAACTATCTGCAAGGAAAAGAATAAAAACTACCAATCTATCTACCATTTATTGAGGAGTTCCCCATTGAAAGGCACTTGACATGTCTTAATCTCTTACACCTTCCAGCAACATAATAGTCCTTGTATCAGTGAGGTAGGTGCAGCTACTTTAGCAATCTTTTTCACCGTTTGCCTAAGGGAGTCATCATTTCCGAATGTACTGCGATACCTAGTCAATGAACATTGCAGATGGAGCACACCCTTAATGTATTTCCCAGCTCCAAAAATGTATTCAATACACTGTCGTTGGATAACGAACATATCAGATATTAAACTGATACTACACTTAATGAAAAGGCTAAGAAGAAATTTGTGTCAATTGAGAATGAGTTACATAAACTTTTCTAAGTACAAAACAGCTAAAAACAGCCTAGTGGTGGCATTCAAATCTAAATAGTCTGGTTGTAAGATTCCTTCTCTTAAATGATATAAAATATGTAAAAACTCGAGTAGAATACAGGGGTCCCCATATCTACACGTTAGCTTGTATTTTATCTTAAATTTATAGTTATGAATATGAATTGACCTATCTTACAGGTATGTTATTAACAGGCTGACGTACTATTTTGAAAAGCAGTAAAATGCATCAAGGAAATATTTTAAACTGCCCTATATTTGTTTTGTGAATTTATTCTGTGAAAAACTATTCATAAGAAAAGTACATCTTTCTTCATTAGTATCTTCCCTTCATCAGTTATTGTTGCTAGATCATTAGGTGGAAGGGGGTTTCCCAAATGTCAGCTTTTTCTAACATGTAGTGTTATTAATTGTATGGACTTAAGAGCAAAGGTCCCTAAATCAAACATCTGTGAACAAGATGGCACATCTGGCACAAGATGTTATCTATAAGCTATTGGTACTAATCATTAGTCGAGGTCAGCAGATTTTATAGAAAATCTTACGAAGAACATGACAACATTGAAGTTAATGTATTCTAAAGGACACCAGGCTGGGGTTAGGTGGTAATATTTTCTGATTTTCTTTCAACAAACTAAGTATATGTAACTGATGGTCCACCTAAATGAGTTACAATTTTACAGTAAAGTTTATTTTTCATTGCACATAATTATCTGTGCAAACTTAGCAAAAGTTTAAAGTTTAGATAATTACAAGAAAATGACAGGATGAAATCTGCTTCAATTGAAACAAATGTGTTTTCTATTTTTAATAAGACTTATGCGAGTGCTATTTTAGAGGGTGGCAATTTGACTATCGAGTGGTTTTAAAAGGGGCACAAGCTTCAGAAATGATGATACGCACAGAATAGATATTTTTCTAAGCTTTCAATTACATCAAGTGGTTTTCGGTATTGCATTCATTTATATATTGCTGAATAAAATGTTTTGTTTATCACAAAAGAATGCCATTTAAACACTTTCATAAACAAAATTTCTTTCTTCTTTCTCTTTGCAAAGAATAGCAAGCAAACTCAGTTCCAAAAATAACAGAATCATGGAAATTTCAAATGTTTTAATGAAGTTTTAAGGCTAGTGGAGGATTTAGGATTTAAAAAAAAAACTGTAGCAACTTGCTAGAAATAACTTTAATAAAAGAAAACAGAAATTTTTGCATCTATGAAGAGGTATACAGGACTTGTGCTTGTGTGAAGTTTATCAGGAAACTGGGTGAAATTCTCTTAGTAAATAGTTCAGAAGTTTCTGAAGATAATTATTCTGCTGATGATATGCACAGTAGTCCTGTGATCTCTAAACCATAGCTCCTAACTTCCAATAATTCTGAAGTTTTCCATTTAAGAAGAAAGACAGAATGCTACACTTATAAATAAAACTTTTATTACAATACCTAAACCCAACTTTGTTTCTAAAAATTATAAAACTGTGCCAAAGATTTAACTCAGCGGCATAAGCACCTGCTTGGCAAGCACAAGATCTTGAGTTCAATCCCCAGTACAAAAAAAAAAAGAGTATCTAAAAATTACACATCAAGAATATTGATTATTCATTACAAACCTAATCACAGCTCTGAGATACGCCTTAAAATAATAACACTGAAAGACTCTGAAGCCGCTCTACCAAGTCTGCTTCTACCGAGCCTGCTGCCACTCTCCAACCTTCACACACAGAAAACAAAAACAAAGGGACTGAAAAGAAAGTTGTTAGAAGGGAATGGTTAGAACTATGACCTTGTGGAACGTCTTCCAATTAAGATAAAAACACATGTAAGCATTTTAGGTATAAGAAGCAAATAACTATTTGTAAAATATCATCCATATTTCAAAACTTTCACATCACAAATGAAGCTGCCTAGAGAAAAATATAAAATTATCTAGTGTTTTAAGCAAGTTATATTTCATCTGTTTTATATATTTGTAATTATAAGACAGTCTTAGTGCTGAAGCATATCTACATTTGATTTTACACATTAACATATATATATATGAACATTAATAAATCTAGGTTTTAAGTAAATATCACCATCATCTCAGTGCTTTTTTCTCTGACTTTCAGAATGATGATATAATCTACTAACCCGCATCTCTGGTGAAGAGGAGGAGGAGAGGGTGAGGCCCAGAGAGCTGGGTGCTGTGGTTTCCTCAATGGCACCTCTTGCAATCATCAATTTAACCCTATTTCCACATTGCCTCAGGACTTGTGCTACCTGCTCACTGCTCATTCCTGTCAAATCAGTGTCCCCAATCTTTAGAATATGGTCTCCACTGCATAATCGGCCATGCTACATACACAAGAAAAGGTTAAATAATCAGGTTATTGTTCTTATAACCGAATCAGAGAACCTAGATAAGGGAAAGAAAATTGTAAAATATGGCAATGATGTGCTACTATGGCAATCATGGGACATTAAACATATTACTGCAATATTAGCTGCCTCCTAAATCAATCAAGCATGATCCAGTACAATATAAAAAATGAAATACACAAACACTCCTTAAATAGCTGATAGGAAGTTTAATATTGACTTATACCCACTAAATGCAACAAAAACTTTTATGAGTGTTCTAAGCCTCTACAAGTGCTGTCTAACAAAGCTTTCTGCATTAATGGAGTTGTTCTACACGACTGTCCAACACAGTAGTTACTTACTAGTGGTACCTAGCTGTGGGACACATGAAATGTAGCTAGTCAAAGTAAGGAACTAAATTTTTAATTTCAACTAATTTTATTAATTAAAATTAAATATGGCAGTACTGGAGAATATAGCTCTATATAGAAGATAAATAGAGCTGTTTCTCAAGCTTATTAATTTCATTTGATATTGCTAAATGATGTCTAATATTTTAAGAGAAAATCTGTAAGTTTTTGTTACTATTAATAGCTCTAATTGAAGAGGTTGCTATTAATAAGCTTTTCATTTGTGAATATGAGAAATGTTTGATGAGGCTGATTTTGACACTGAACTTCAAACAAACATGCAAAAGCAATGTTACCATGAAGACAGAACTTTTTATAACTAATAAATGCGTGAAATACTTTCACACATATCTTAAACATACATATCTTAAATAACAATTCTTCAATTAACTATTCTAGGTAATAAAAATAGGTTACATTTCATATCCAAAGATGATACCTGTGACTTTTCACTAAAAGTCAAGATGAATTTTGTTCTTTCCCTTTAACAATTTGTCCACAGTGACTATAAAACAGCCAAGCAAGTTTCAAATATATGATCATAAAATAAAAAATCAATCAATAAAAAACTTTACCTCAGTTTTAGCTTAGTCTGTGATTCTAAAGATTGCTAAATTCATTGTCTGCAGCTATAACCTAAGATTAATGTTCTTTTTCAAAAGTATTTCCCTTCCCATTCTATAAGAATATTTCAAGAATAGTCCAATAAAACAAAAGATCTTGGGGCTAGGGATGTAGCTCAGCGGCATAAGCACCTTCCTTGAAAGCAGGTGGTTGTGAGTTCGATCCCCGGTACCGATAAAAAAATGAAAAAAAGACATAAAAAAATGAAAAAAAGACCAAAAAAAAGATCTAAATCCTAGGTTTTTCTTTTGTAGAGAAAATATAAACGGTAAAGCCATTTACTGGGTAAAACAGCATTAAAGACTTACTGGAGTAGCTTACCTGGTCAGCTACTCCTCCGGGTAGAATGGTTTTGACTATCACACCAGTTGCCTTTCCTCCTATGATGCCAAATCCCAGACCAGAGCCATCATTCACCAGCTCAATGGTTTCTACATGCTGCCAGTGAACCTAAAAACAAAGCTTCCATATGAAGTTTTAAAATTTTATAAAACACTAAAATTCTATATTACGTAGTGTGATTATTATTTTATTGGTATTAAGTAACTGAATACAGACATGCTAATAAGCACCAAAAAATCCTTTGCATTTTGCACATTTCTCTTCTAACAGATGATTACTCCTATTGATAAAACCCCTCTTAAAAACATCAATATATTATTTTTTATATTTCCAAGATCTATTACACAACTTATGAAAAAGAAAAGAAAAAGATCAAGGGGAAAAAACTGCCATGTCAAAAATGTCTTCTGTCTAATCCTGCCTCAAGGAAAGATTTTAAATTAAATGACTTTAAAGCCACTAGAAGCTAACTGCAACAATATAATTCTATAATTTACAAAGCAAGTCAAGACTGTATCTGTCTACACATAAATACAGTTTTATATTTTTATTTATTTATTTGACAATATGAAATTTATTGGAAAAAAGAATGGGAATAGGCATAGCTCCTGAGAGACAGAAGAGGTCTCAAATATTTTGTCCAATAAATTTCAATTTTGTTAAAGAACTACTTTTTTTTGAAGAAATTCTATCAAAGAAAATACTGTTAAATAAAGTAAAGACTGTTTTAGAAGCTAGAAATGTAATCATAATTAAACAAGTATCCCGGCTTAAGGAATGATAAAAGAATAAAAAGACAAATTCAAGAAGTACAAAGAACCTACAGGAACTACAAAAAATGTGTCTTGTTCTTTTTCAAAATTTGAGGCACTCACTGGGTTCGAATGCGCTGAAACGGTGCTAGCTGCAGATGGAGACCGGGAAACTCGGGGGCTGGTGACCTGAGGCAAAGAGCCCCTGGCAATCACAAGCTGCACAGTGTCTTTGGCCTTCTGCAGGATGCTGATAGCCTGCTGGTGTGTAACTGTCTGATCAAGTGCCTGTCCATTGATAGCTAGGATCTGATCAGTTTCCTTCAGTCTTCCATCTCTACCAAGGATGAAAAAGAGGGTGAAAAAATTACATGGCAGCTCTCAAGGAAACAACAGCTTCTTTGTCATATACATCTGGGTTATTTTTAATATTATTTCTAAATTTCTTCATTTTTTAAGGTTTTCCCTGCAGTTCTACTTTTAAAAATATACCCTGAGATAATTCAACTGCTATCCCTAATGACTGTTCCATTTAGAAGATTTAGTCTTTCTTTGTAACTAACCAATCTATCCAATATATATTAGTCTTATTTTTAAAAAATGAAAGTACCAATGCATTATTGCTTTGAGTATGTTAAAATAGTTCAAATTATCATAGGTCACTTCTAACACGGTACTCTTTAAAACTAAATAAAAAGAGGTCATTTTATAGCAAACAAAATACTACTGAAATCAATCTATTCTTTCTTTACTAAGAAGCGGTTAAGCTAAACTATTTAAGAGCTACTTTCATTTCAAATGACTTACTTTTCATCACAGCAATGTTAATGACTTCTAAAAACTGGTTAATACCAGATAAAGTCTAGTTTCATCTTTGCTTTTCTAAATTCCCGCAAAGGGATCAAAATATTCTGAATGTGACATCAAAAACAGAGAAGACACTGACACAATCTTACCTATGAGCTACACTGCCCTCTTGTATCTCTTGCACAAATATTCCCAGTTCTCCCCTGTTTTCACTTCTGAGCCCCACAACACTGAATCCAAGGCCTCCACAGGAAGGTTTGAGGAGTTCAAAAGCTTCTATCTGGCGACCCTGTTCAGGAAACAAAGCAAAAAACAAACCAGAGCTAATTACTGTAGTTAAGTCATCCTACTAGTGGTATTACTTTATTTACAATAACAAAAGAAGGAATTGAAAAAGTTTCCAAGAAAATTTTTACTCATTACCTATATACAGGTCATTTATAATATTTCTGGAATACAACATGTAATACTGAATTTAAAATCTTAAAAAAAAAATGTAATAGAAAAGTCTCTGAACTACCAATCTCTGCCAAAAAACCATCTTTTTCATTTCAAATATTTCAGATATTATAAATGCCACTATATTATCCAGGCCCGATTATAATTTTGTGTAACATTTTATCATAATTAACAAAAAGAAATGTTCTTACCTGAGCCATATTTTTGATCAACTGATCAAATTCATCACACACAAGTTTCCCATTGATGTAAGGAGTACCAGGTCCTGTAAGTGTCTCTTGATTCCCATTATATGAGGATAACAGAAATGATTCATTTTGCAGAGTGGGAATTATGGAGGCACTGAGATGAGGAGTATGGGCATACTCAACATTTGAGGTTGCTGAAGTTGCAGTGCTTACCTAAGAGTAATATAGAAATTAACAAATTATCAGAGGTGGGTTGAGGCATTTCCCAAACTTGCAGCTGATGTTAAAATGAAGATGGTCAAGTAGCTACTTTGCCCTTTAACTGGCCACTGAACCTTAACTCCATTCAATAATTGTTAGAAGTGGGGCAGAGTTAGCAGTCCAAGGAACTGTGCACTCTGTAGTCTAGACAGCTCTGAGGAAAGAGACGTAAGTAGCAGACAACAAAGAACTGCTTTATTTTGCAGTATCTTTCTGTGTGTTTGTTATAAAGAACTCCAACCGAAATTACGACTTGTAATTAATAAAATATCAAGTCTATCCTAACTCCCTATTTCTGAAGCACGTCAGGAATGACATTTTATCTACAATTATATATCATAAAGATTAAATCAATGAGGTTATACCTGATCTCACTTCCCAGCACTCTGATCCTCACCTCTTAGTTCCAGCTCCAAGGACCTCCTCACTATTCTTTAAAACAGCCAAATTCTCACTCCACCTGTGAGATACAGCCTTTCCCAAAGATTCCATGTGTACCACTTACTTTAATTCAGGTATGCTCATACTTGCCTCAGAAAAGCCCTCCTTGACAACCCTACGCAACACAGCACTCTACCATGCTCCATAAACTGGCCCTGCCCTTTTTCCTGGCACTTATCACCACCTAATGGACCCTGATGTCATGGAGTTTCTACCTCAGTCATGGAGACAAACTAGAATGCAAAATTCTTTAGTAGAAAAACTGAACAATTTATTTTCTATAAGGTCCTTATTAACTAGAAAAAAGTCTTTCAGAGCTGGCTGTCAATAAACATTTGTAGAACAAATATTTAATGGATCCATTTTTAAGGACCTACTCTGATCCAATCACCTAAAGTGTACACTTTGTAACCTAGAATTTTTATGGTTTCTTTTATCTATGTAGTATATACAAAGCATAAAGTCATTTGAAATGTAAGATAGGAAATAAAGACTTCATTGATAGAAATACCACAGTATTTTAACAGTTGTCACTAATCCATACATATGCATTTGTTACCTGTCTTTAACAACAAAATAGAAAATTAAGTTACCAAAGTTACCAGTAATTCAATAATTATATTGGAAATATATAATCACAATAAAAAATCAATGTGTTAAGGAGACAGTTTTGGGAATCCTTTCAAATGCTTATTTTAAAATCTACAGCAAGTATGATCAATTATTATTTTTTCAAAGGCAAGCTTTTCATGCCAAGATTAATTTTTTTTTAATCCTGAGCCATGGCAACTCTAGCAAAGTCTGCCAGCAGAAGATACACAGCTCAGGTTGAAGCAGATGGCAGAATTAAATTTGTGACAGGCTGAAGATCCCACACACCAAGACCTAATGCCTATGATATGTTTGCATAGGAAAAAATATTTAGACTTCTACTGTGGCAAGCCAGAATGAACAAATCACATTCCAAGAATAGTCTATAAGAAATTAACTGCTGAACTAGAAATTCTGATACTATGAAAGATTAGGTGTGAAGGTATTCCAAGAATAAAGTTAGTAGGAGTAGAATAAACACAAGATTACAATATGAAGACTCATATATAAGTAATACCAATTGTCTTTTCTCAATTTGTTAAGTTTGAAGAATGCCAATTATTTTACCTATTTTTTCTTCCTGGAAATGTATATGAATGTAAAAGCAACTCTTATTTAAAATAGACCATGTATTGAAAAATCATAATTTATACTACCAAAACTTTTATTTCTAAATTCAGAACTTTATACTCATAAGAAAAAGTACCAAAATATATTTTGATTCCAACAGCAACTATTTACTATTACGGTTTTCTGAACTACATTCTCTCAGAAACAAAAGTAAATCTCATTTGCTTTGATAGATCTGTTCATAGCAGATAAACTATAAATGTTTAATAGAATGAGACTCTCATCCTTGGTTTATAGAACACAAAATAAACAGAAGAAAACACAAATATCTGGTCAGTTTTACATACATATAAACAATCTGTATTATTATTATTATTATTGCTAGTAAACGAGCAAGAGTCACCAAATCATTATCAGTTCTCTCACTTCTGGCTGAGTATGTACATCTAGAAAAAGCTTTTAAAAATAAACAAACATGTATTAACTTAATTTATGGATATTAATTAGTGCTATTATCTGGAACAGAACTTGAAGATTATGAAAGCATCATTTTAAATTTCAGATTCTTTATAGAAGGGCAGGATATAATATCATCTCAGGATTCAGAAATATAGCTAAGACTCTTAAAAAATGCAGTCAGAACTAGTAATTGAGTTACTCTGAAAGGTCACATAAACCAGAAAGCATACCACATAACAAACACATAATCTGCTTTATTTTTAATTTGAAAGCACCTATACAATTCATAAATATCCTGACATATCAATGAAATCTTTAATATAGCTCCAAAGATGAGAGGTTTTTATCAACTTTTTAAATACGTATTTAATTTTGGGGGAGGTACTGGGGATTAAACTCACAACCTTGCACTTGCCACACAAGTGTTTATGCCGCTGAACTAAATCCTAGGTCATATTTAATTATTTTTTTATTAAGAAAGCTCACTGGCACATTTTAGGCATACATAATGATTACATTCATTATAGGAAATTTGTACCTGTACATGATATAACTGGATTCTTTTTTTCCCCACATGCCCATACCCTTCTTTAAAGCCCTCTTCCCTTCCTTATTTAAAAGTTTTGTTTCCATTTTTTCCTTCTTTTCTCACCATTTTTTTCTCCCCACACCAAGTTTCCTTTCCCATTTATACATTTTCTTTCTATTTCACAATATATGTTAAACATTTTGGTCCTTATTTATACTTTTAGTTTCTCACAGCAGAGAAATAATGCAGTATTTACGAGTGTATCTAATTTATTTCACTTAAGAGTATGGTCTCAAGATGCATCTATTTAGTAAGAAATGTCTCAAGCTTAACTTCTTTATGATAGACTAGTACTCCAATGTATAAAATATATTCTTTATACATTTATGAGTTGATGGGCATTTGGGCTGTTTCCAAGATACAGCTATTACAAACTGTGTCACTATAAATATGAGTGTGCATATATTGCTGTGATATGATGCTTTGAATTCTTTTGGGAACATATCAAGAAGAGGAACAGTTAGGCGAAAAAGTCACTCATGTTATATTGTTTTATTTTTAACATTAGCTCTTTAAGGTGAAGTAGCAATTTGAACAATTAATAAACCAATTTTATTGAAGAAATATTCTACATTTTTATGAGGTCTATCCTGTTTTGGTCAGTTTGGTCAGAACAAAATTAATCCACCTATAATTGTCATATAGTTTTCAAAATAATTTGTCATTTCACAGAAAATGTCATAAATTTTTATATATTCATAAAATTATAAAGTAAGAATAAAAAGCATAAAGTACTTCAAAAGCAACTTTTGACAAATGCATTCATAGCAATCAGAGCTGAACAAGTATACAAACAAAGGTACTGTATCAACTATCACACTCAAGGCGGACACCACACATGGTAACTGAGTGTTGCACACATGTGTTTCACTTATACTGATGACAGCACACTTGTCTTCCTTTTTTTTTTCTTGTACTGGAAATCAAACTCAGGACGTTGCATTTGCCAGGTTGTCACTTATACTGCTGAGCTATATCCCCAGTACTTAAGAGTACAGTATTTAAACAGACAAATGTTTATTGTCCTGGGCATTAGTCAATATCCCTCACAGGAGAGATGGACAATATACTTCACCTAGCAAATTACTGGGAGATGTGCTAATACACTGTTTCTGTAATATGTCCCAAGGAAACAAAAATTTAGTTTACACATAACTGCCATTAAAAAAAAAACTAAAGATATCAAAAAGATATTAAGATTTCTGCCCTATTATTCGGATACAAAGCAAACAGTATGTCCAGTACACAGTAAAGAGGAATTACACAAGAATATCAAGAGGCAGAGATTATTGGTGTCCATCTTAGAGGCTGACCACCATAGCTGAAAGCCAAGACAAAGAGAAAAATCTTAAAAGCACAAGAACACAAAGGCACTTTTTCTTCAAAGAAGATACAACAGCTGATTTCTCAAGTAGGACCACACAAGCCAGAAGCTAACAGGATGAATAAGACAACAACAACAAAAACCACTTATGGATGAAACCCTGAGCTAGCATCTCTCTCTCTCTTTCTCTCTCTCTCTCTCTCTCTTTACAAAACAGCAATGTAAATTCTTATACAGAAAGAAAATTATCTTAGACAAAAGATCCTAAATGCAGAAAGCAAGTACAAAAGGGTTTAAAGTATTGGTGAATCAGCAGGAGTTGCTTAAAGCAAAAGATAATCTAAACTGTGAAGTTTTAAATTTATATGGAAATAGAGTAACACAGTTCCACAAAAGGTGAAAGTATCACTATTAATGGGACTGAAGTATTCTAAGTCCATTAATATTCCAGAAAATAGTAACCAAACTAAAGCAGGATCAAATCAGTCAAAGACATGTTATGTGACAAAGGACTCATATCTGAAATATATTAGAAAACTCTATTGCTAAAAAAAAAATCCCATTAGAAAATGATTTAAAAAGAGAGACACTTCACAAAAAAGATTTATCAAAGGCAAAGAAGCACAAAAAAGATGTTCATCATCATTATTTATTGAAGAAATATAAATTAAAAGCATTAAGGAGTATTACTATATACCCCTCTGACTAGAGAAGAAGTGGAAAACTGAACTGTTCATATAGGAACATTATATTATATATTGTTAAATTATATAGCACCAGTGAAAAACAGTCAAATTTCTGAAAATTAAATATCCATTTACCAATCTACTCTGTTTACTGCGAGAAATGAAAACTTGTGATGACATAAAACTTATAAAGAACTGCTCCCAGAACAGCTTTATCTATAAATCAAAAAATAAATAAGCTAGAAAAATAAAATCTTTCAGTAAGTACATCCATATGACAGAGAGTACAACT